TGAGCGTGATCTCGGTCAAGTCCACCTCCTTGCATAATCGTTGACCGAGAAAACAGTACTTCTTCATAAACCCCAAAACCATTCACGTGTGGCACTCTACAAGTGGTGCAGGTTTTGTTTTACACACTGTCTAATTAGAGGTATCCATATACTCTCTAATTTCTCTTTGTGCTGTGCTTCGACACTGGAATTATGTGGTCCAGATAGGTAGATGCATTGCTTTCCTACGATAGAATAAATATGGTCTGTGTCACAGGCGGATCTTCGGGGGAGGGGGGGGAGAAGCTTTCGGGTAGACTCCCTCCCCCCCAAATGGTAAAATATAACCATGTTTTATGAAACAAATGTTTTTAAAAAGTTTTATTGTTCGTTTGATTACTTTTAATTGACCTCAAGAATCAATTAAACACCATTTTACATAGGTAATTAGTTTCTTTGTTTTTCTTACAAAGTAATTGTCATAATATATGTAAAAAAAAATCTTTAGGTGAAGCTCCCCAAAAATAAATCCTGGGTCCGTAAGTAGTTTGTGTTATTTTAATGGTGTTAATGACTTTCCCGTTAATGTATATGACCAAAATTCGCGAGTACGTTTTGTTTGGTTTAACCCCGTTAAAAATGAACTTCCATCACTTTTTGTTATTGTATTTAATACCAGTTTTGCAAACAAATAAATCTCACTCAAAATGTGTGAAAGTTATGTGATGCGCCCACCAGATTATTCGATATAAAAGTAAGTTATCCTACTGCCATGTTTCCATTTTTTTTTTCTATTTCTATTTTCTATTCTACGTAGTTTACTGTAATAATAATTATTAATTAGAAAGAAGTAGAAAAGCATTATGTCGACCGCATCTGATAACATTATAGGTATAATGCTTCATTATAAAATAATAATTAAATAAGCAGACAGTTCTGAATGGAGAACAACAATCATTTCAAAGTTACGAAATGAAACCATTTACCAGCTGGGCCATTGTACCACCGCATCTGGCCATCATCTTGATGCCATTGTTCCATCTCTTCTTATCCATCATCCATTCCTGTGATGTTGCTCCGGAATCTGGGTCATCTTCTTCTGCAATGGTTCGAAGCCCCAAGATCTTCTGGATCGAAGAATGAAAACAATGAAGGTGCCGGTGGTCATGGAGCAATGAAGGAGAAATGTTACTTAAGAGGTCATGATGGCCAAGCGTGTGGAAGTGTTACTGGCTTTAACATTCTCGAGTCCAGCTGCGACGCACAGTGGACAAAATTATATTATGGTCGATTTTAATGTTTTGAGGATCGCTGGGTTCGATAAAACTCGGCAAAAATATGAAGTAACATGTTTATAAAACTATTTCTATTTATAATATAACAAAAGAAAAATTGAGCATCACGGAAGTAGATAAAGTTTTCGAAACATAATTCTGGAATTTATCTAACGTAGAATTTATCTTATCACCAGATGATGGCGCTATGTATATGACTAACTCGCGCACAGTTTTCTGAACTCCTCAAAGAGTAGCTGATTTTTTTATATTATTTATTTATTGAACACGTCCACTGTACTTTATGTATTTTTTATGTATTAGGTTAGAAAGAGAGAGGAGAGAATGTGAGGAGTGGGAACATGTATAGGGGGAGAGAAGGAAGAGAAAGGGTGCAGAATAATAATAAATGAATGAAAGAAATAGTAAAAATTATTTTAAAAAATGAGAAAAAAAGGGAAAAAAATAATTATATATATATATATATATATATATATATATATATATTTATATATGTATATGTATAAAATGTTGTATACTATGCTCATACATATTGTTAATCCTATATAATTGTATAATAATTTTAAATAATGTCTGTAGTGATTAATAAGTATGCTGTGTTGTTAGCAACCCAATGTAATTGGGCAGCACCATTTTATTTTATGATAAAGTGATTCTCTCTTTCGAGTTTTCTTTAACAGGAAAAACTCGAACCTCCGGGTTCACTAAGCCTTTTATTATTATTAATAATAATGCTGGTTAGTGTCCAGTTTTTGCAGCCTATAGCTGAACTGGCTTTATTGTACCATTGTACACCCTTAATGTAAGATATCTAGAGATTTTTCGGTGTTTCAATGGCCAATTTCTCCCTTTTTAATCGCCGAAACGTTCTTTTTTTCTTATCCTCCATAATTGTATTATAACTGACGCCCCAATGTAAGTTTTAGTTATAACAAATTAAATGAATAAAAATTGTGAGATAGACGATCAAAAAAAATTTTCTCTTATACATACAATTGTTGTTGATTCCCTAACATACTACACTTATAAACAAAATTAAAATAAGTATTGCAACGTGTGGTAAATATTGCACTATAATTAACTCTGGTCATTCTGTAATGAATATCAAGAAAATTCTTGCTAATTATAGAATGTTGTACTTCTAATCCCTTCCAAGCCTACATACTAACCTTTCTTTTCACTACATTATTTCCTAATATATTGTCTATGTATACGTTATCATGGCTGTTAATAACTAAACGAAACGAATTTAATAATAAATTATAGTAAAATCAAGATATTTAAATAAGCAATAAAAAAACAAAAAAAACAATAAAAACACAAAAGTTTAAGCTATACACCGTAAAGCGTTTAATTTTTTATATCTTGATAATCATCCCGTGTTTTGGGTTCATCATAGCTGATTTCTTCATTAGTATTAAGGTCGTATCTTATTAAAAATAAATATAAATAGATTAATTTATACTTGAACGAAGGATATTATTTAATCAGTAAACGTATTAAATTGCGTGTAACGAAGCTAAGTATTAATTATTTATGAAGCGTGGTCTATTGTGCCGCATGGTGAATGACAGTCCTTGCGAAACGTCGGTTTCGTGACATACATAACTTCATTGAGTGAATTGTTTTCATTGAGAGGAAGATTACAATTTGTTATTTAGAAAGTTATTGTTAATATCCATAAAATTAACATCCTTGATAAACGACTTTGTAGGAAAGAAAGGGAAGCCGTTTAAGGGGATGATAACAAAAATTTTGGCCTTAATATGGTAAATTCTAACTTTTGGTACCGCATTTGCAGATTCTATATTTGAAAATTCGTGATTAAAACAAAAAATTTCAGGGCATACTGAACATTCATATCAGTCTGTTAGTGCAAAAGATCGTATGTAAAAATTGAGTGTTTTGCAGGAGAGCATAAAAACTAATAATTCTTCATGATTTATTAGTATAATGTCATGTTTTATTGCCCTCTAATATTTTCCATTGTAGCAGACTACTTATATCAATTACAGACTACAAAATGTCAAATATAGAATAAAATACCACCTTTTGCACTAACAGTATTTATATATACTTAATAGGTATGTTTTCATACGTAAAATAGATGTAACAAAAAATCCATAGGAATAATTTAACTTTTTGTTTGTTCGGAGTTAACGAGACCATTACTTTTCTTCAGTTAGCATAAAACTTATTTAAAGTTAGCTGGAATATAAAATTATAAATGAAGTTCACACAACTTTGGTGTTTAAAGATGAAATCGAGACCACGACGTGCTAGTTGAACTTCAATAGAAATAAATATAAATACGACTTTTCTTTTTTTACAAACTTAGTGTAAGAATTAATTTAAATTTATTGAAAATTTCACGAAATTTAAGTAACTGCAGAAAGTATCATCCCAGTAACACTAGGAAGCGACCAAACAATACAGTATCAATTAACTTTTTGAATAAAACCTTATTTAATTTTATAACCTCATAAAAATATGGTATTAACCTAGCGCATGGTAAATGCCTTCAACATTTCACAGCCATTATACAGTTAACAGTTATTTATATTAATTTTAATTATTAAATGGAATACAATAAAATTCATACTATGCAATTTCTGTTCTCCAAGTTTGAGTCCAATAGAACGAGCCGTTTTCAGACTATAGGTGTGTCAAATAATACATTTACTAATCCGAAAGCGGAAGTTTTTTTTTTTAGAATAGTGGATAGAAATATATAAAATATTCACTTAATTATCCGTTAAACAATACCTGAATTTGAGCCAAATCGAAAGTGCAGTTTTAGAGATATAGACGTATCAAGGAAAACAAGTTTCCGTATATATAAGAGAAAGTAGATTAAAACAGATACTGCGTTATTTTTTTACTATTACCTATATTTTAGAGCCTAATCAAACAAGCCATTTCTGACATATTGGAGTATCTAAAAAAATACATTTGCGCGTGCGTAAGCGAATGCGCTACATGGAATTTGATGCAATTAATATGGGACCACGTAGACACCAATTCGCACATTCCCTGAAAATTTCATGACACCGAACCAAATTTGATCGTTGATGTCTGAAACGTAAAACACGAGTGGAATTTTTCGATTCTGAGTAAATAATTCTTTTTAACATCCCGCACGATAAAGCTTACCCACCTTCGGTAGTGAGGAAGCAAAAATACAACAGTCAGAAAATTGTTATAATTATCAACTCCGCCTGTATAACAAAAAAGGATTTCCATAGAAATTATAATTGTGAATTATACGGTTTGTGGATATATTATGGGAGTTCATCGCGTGGAGTGGGGTAGCTCGGTGGTAGGGCACTGAACTAACAATGCTAAAGGTCCCAGGTTCGAATTCCAGCTCATGGCAGAAAATTTATTTATCTATTTCATTGGCCGTGGGGCGAGCCTGGGTCGGGAAACACTCCTAGGGCACACCCAGCCTCTATAAAGTGGACACACCCAGCCTTTAATTAAATAATTGATGAAGGGGAAAAACGTGGCAGTTGTGCGTGATCTCGGTCAAATCACCTCCTTGCACAACCGTTGACCTAGAAATAGTGCTTTCCCTAAATAGTACTGAACCCCAAGACCTTTCATGGATTGCAGTGGTACAGGTAGATATATCAAGTAATAAATAGTAATGTTTATAGATATAAGTTTTAATAAATATCAATGTTTGTCGATATATGACGTAATAAATGATTACTTTAACAACAGATGGAGCCCCGAGAGGCCTGAGCAGGAGATTGCTGAGCCTATCGCCGCCGTTCGCCCTCACCAACAGCCCCAACGAGGCCTGCAGGAACGACAGCTTCGCCTACCTCAATGCCCTCAACAGCTTTGATCTTCAAGCAGTAATGAGTAAGTCAACAACAACAATAATAATAATATCTCACTAATAAACAGGGATTGTCATTGAATCTTATCCTTTTCACTTGCTGAGCATTAATCATTTAGTATTATTTGGAAGAATGGTACCACTGTACAAATACAAATCACTCCATCTTGACCAGTGAGCCAAGTTCACGGTATAATTGAGATTCCGAGAATAACCGGGGATTTAGAAATAGAAATAGAAAATAACTTTATTCTGGGACAAACCCCTTTTAGAATAACATAATTAAAAGACTACATCTGGCCAAAATAAAACAATAATAAAAAAAGAGAAAGTAAAGAAAATATTAGTTAAACCAGCTATATACAAAAAAAAAAAATCTATATACAAAACACTTAAAACTATGTACAGTAGGAAAAATTATAATTATACACCTTTGAAAAATAATTTTTTTTTTTTATTAACGAAATTTACAACTGTAATTAATAATAAATACAACAAGTAAATATGAACAAGTAATATGACATGTACAACATGAGGAGAAACTACCCATTGGTAGCACTCCAATTATATTTCTATATTAGAAGGTCCCGAGGCCATCTTCTTTTTAGACGCCTCGGAGGGTTATCAGGAATAGAAGAGGAAGAGGAAGGTTGGAAACGAGAGGGTTCGGATGGTTCAGAAGTTTATTATGAAAAGACAGGTATCTGGATTGAGCTAAATCGGAAACATATGGTACATTAAGGTCAGTATGGATGATTTTATTTGTGAAAAAGTAGGGAGCATTAAGGATTTTACGAAGGATTTTGGATTGTAGGGATTGGATACGAGAGGAATTTGATGGTTTAGTAGAGCCCCAAAGCTCGATTCCGTAAGTCCAAATAGGCCTTATATATGAGTCTTTTGTAAATAGTTGGCAGTTTAGAGCGTTTGTCTAGTAAGTGCTGGAGTAGTGTCCAAGTGAGTCGTTTGTCAAGGTGAAGTCCTAGGTATCGGATTTGGTCAACAGGAATAAGTGGGGTATTGTTAAAGGATACTGTACGACAGGAAGTCGTTGGTTTACGACGAAAAATAAAATAATAAAAAATACATTGAGTTCTTCCTTAAAATGAGGTGTGTTTCTGCTAACAAAGGAAAGACAAAGCTGACAATATAAAATCTCAGAGTATTTAAATAATGAATAATATCTAAACACATCATTATCTAATTCTAACTATAGGTACAGATTTAATTATATAAGAATAAAAAACAAACAATAGATGCATTTAGTGGCATCAAGAGCAGGAAGATATTGTAATATCCCTAATGAAGTTTACAGCATAGAATAGTACTATCGTTTGATGATGAATGATATGATAGAAATGTATAATATCAAAAGTTTAGCAGACATCTGACTGTTTTTGGGATAGGAATTGGAATATGAGGGTTTTGAATGTGGATATGGAGGAGAGATGCCGAATTTTGATAGGCAGGGAATTCCTGAAATTGACAGTTTTGAAATTAGGCAGATCTGTGAGAAGGGGTGTAAAGATCAGAAGATTGTAGGCGTAAGAAGGACGATGATTGTTGATGTTTTGATGAAGGAACATACCTAGGAAATATTGTCTTCGAAAGGAGGGAAAGAGCCATCTTAACTCAGTGTAGTGGTGAGAGAGATGGGAGTATTTCGGGGCACTAATAACAAATCTTACCCAGCTATTCATTAATCCTTTCAGTCTATCACTGAGCTCCACCGAGAGGCCAAATTTACGACTTGTTAACCTTATAACATCCCTTTATTTATTTAGCTCGCGATTTACGAATTCGGCAAACTCCTAACTGAAAATTTTCAATTAAAATCATGGCTTAATACTAATAAATAATTATAAAAGGCTTAGTGAACCCGCGGGTTCAATGCCGACACCACCAATCGCTTATTGCACATTTCCCTCCACCAGTCGCCATCCCCAAACCCAGTCCCTTCAGATCGGACGTCAACAGTCGGTACAGCAAATATTAACATTTCAGGAATTCTTTCGTTACTAAATCCATCAATTTTACAAGCCCATTTAAATCGCAACGATGTAATTACCTCAGCTATATTAACCGGATACAGTTCACGAAATTAGTGTTGTGTAACCGTATAGACTCTCCGGTTAACTCATCCTTTTTCGATCCAAATATTCTAGGCAATGCTTCATTTTCAAAAACTTTAAGACGCTGCTCATCCCGTAATGTAAGCTGCCACATATCGCATCCCTTAAGAACCGTAGGTAACATAATGGTATTATAGATTCTAGTTTTTAAGTTTTGTCACAGAAAAATAACAAGCATTTCTCGCCTTCAGTCTAACCTTGATCTCTTCAATTTCATTTTATCTAGATACCTGATCATCGTAGAACCTAGATACTTGAACATCTCTGTGTGTTCAAACATATTTATTACCTTTTGAATATTTAATAGTTGACCGTTGCATTATGAAGGAAGGAGATGGTCCGGGGTGACGGTCATAAACAGGCGAAATAGTGGCAAAACTATTTTATTAAAAGCAAACGTTTCGACCCGAGTTTGCAGTTCTTCTTCAGGGAGGTGTGTTCAGTTAGGAGTTTCACTTAGTTCACTTAGCTAAGTGAAACTCCTAGACTAAATTGCTGACCAAATGAAATGACTGAATTGCTAAAAAAAAAAAGAGAAAGAGAGATTCTTAAAAATTAAATAATTGAAATAGAAACTAATAGAGTAGAAAATAATGTAAGAGAAGTGTACAGGAGTATAAACAGATCACGTAAATATTTAGAGGCTGTCACGTCTGGAATTAAAGATGAAAGTAACAAAACTCTGAACGACAAAATACGATATGTGGTTAGCTGCAAAAATGGCGATAATTCCGGTGATATCGATATAAAACACGTAGAGGAGTTTAGGTATTTAGGGTCTATGATAACTGAAAAAACGAAATTGAATAGGAGATTAAGCTTAGGCTGAAGGTGGGAAATGCTTGTTATTTTTTGTGACAAAATTACTCAGATCGCACCCTCTCTCCTTAAAAATTAGAATTTATAGAGCCAATACCTCATCCACAGGCGGATCTACGGGGGGAGGGGAGCTTTCGGGCTGTAGCCCCCTCCCCCCCCCCAAAATGGTAAAATATAACCATGTTTTATAGAAAAAAAATTTAAAAATACCTCTTAAAATATTATTATTCGTGCAAGTACATTTAAAAGGACTTAAGGAATCACTTAAACACCATTTCATATAGGTAGTTAGTTTCTTTCTGTTTTTCCAACGTAATTATCGTTATTTTTATGGAAAAAAAAGGTTTCGGGCTGAAGCACGGGCGGATCTACGGGGGGGAGGGGGCTTTCGGGCTGAAGCCCCCCCCAAAATGGAAAAATATAACCATGTTTTATGGAAAAAAATATTTAAAAATACCTCTTAAAGTATTATTGTTCGTGTAATTACATTTAAAAGTACTTAAGGAATAACTGAACACCATTTCATATAGGTAGTTAGTTCTTAGCTGTTTTCCAAAGTGAATATCGTTATTTTTTGTGACAAAATTACTCAGATCGCGCCTCCTTTCCTTAAAAATTATAATCTATAGAACCAATACCCTACCTACAATTCTTTATGGATGCGAAACTTGGCCGCTTACAACAAGCGATGTCTTATTGTTAAAAAAATGTTAAGGTTTTTGAAAATAAATTATTGCGTAAAATATTCGGACCAAAGAAGGATGAGTTGACCAGAGTTGAGGCGGTTACACAACGCCGAATTGCGTGAATTGTTTTTTATAGAAAAAAGGTTAATATAATTGAGGTGTTTACATCGCGGCGAATTAAATGGTTTTGTAAAATTGTTGGGTTTAGTTACGAAAGAATTCGTAAAACGTTAATATTTGCCGATTGATAAATGTCCGAGGGTCATCTTTGTCGGTTTTAGAGTCTGGGTCGGCATAGATGGCAAGGATTATTTTAGGTTTAACTCCCAACATGGCTGAGGAGAAAGAGCGTAACCCAAACTGAGGTACGATTGTTGCTTATCAATTTTTATCTGGTATGAGTTGATCGGTTAGAAAAAAAAAATACTCAGTTTTACCTCAATTGTCTATAGTGCAAAACTCATCGGTTTAAACATAGGAATCGAATAAAAAATAATGCATCTATGAGAAAGCTGCGTCCTAAGTGGTTTTCCGAAAAAAATATTTTTGGCCTAAATAATAAAGCCGTGACGTTTGATAAAGCTCGCAAGTGGTCCGAGTCTAGGTCAAGGCCCCGCTAACCTTGAACTAGCCACCGGCTGTTGAGTAACCCTTGCGCAACTCCGGCTCCTTGCTCTCTCTCTCGTTTTCAGGAGTGGATCTGAGAGCGAACGAAACAAGCGATTGATAACTAAACTGTATTACTACAGAGATTAGGCACCTCTCCCGTATACACGATGACAGTTTACTACCGTAGTGATATTGTAATGATAAGAAGGCACCGACAGAAAAACAACTTAAAACGCAGAAGTTGAGTAAAAATATTCTTTAGTAAACTTCAATGGTCACATGAACAATCACTACACAGGCTTCAAGGAGACATTGATAGCATAAATACTTGATCAGTGAGCAAGATTTAAAATTGAATATTGAGAAGACCAAAGCCATTCTCATTGGTTCCAAGCATCTCATTAATTCCATTCATTATTATCCCCTACTCTACCTCAATGGCCTACCTATCTGTTTCCACACTTCCGTTAGAAACCTTTGTGTAATGTTTCATCAATATCTGTCCTGTGGAATAATCATATTTCCCAAATAATCCTAAAATCCATCGCTACCCTCAAACAGTAACTGAGATACCATGATTCCTGGTTTCCTCACTCATTTTCCCTCATTTCGATTATGGCTTCCTTGTATATGGTGGGCTTGAGATCAAATTAAAGAGACTAATGAATTGTTTCATTGTTTTTTGAGTCCCCAGGCGCTCCAGTTGGTATGCCTAGTTGAAGTGGCTCTATCCAGTCTTCCGACGGCAATACTTCATCACGGCATTTTTCTTTCAAATCTTTCAACACTTTTTTCTAGAATGCTAGTTAATGTCCGGGTCTAACAGCCATATATTAGAACTGGCTTTATCATTACATTGTACATCCTTAATTTGTGATTTCTTGAAATATTTTGGGGATTTCAATACTTTTGAGAAGAAAACTCTGTTTGCGCTAGTTATACACTGGTCTATTTCTGTCCATTGGTCATTCAATGAGGTTATTGTAGAACCGAGGTATTTTTTTTTTTTCGGGAATGATTTTCCTCCTATGCAGATCCTGTTATTGAGTGGAAATTTTGGCTTATCATAATATATTTTGTTTTGTTTACTTGTAAACCGATCTACTGTGGCTCTCTTATCAGAGTCTTAGCGAGTTCTCAGAGTATATTTTAAATTACTAGAGTGCATCATATCTAATTTTAACGTTCACTTCCTTATTCCTATTTCTACTAAAGGTAGAGTGGTAAATTAAAGTTGTTTGATTCGTACATGGCACCAGGATTTTAGCATTTGTTTCATTTGATCTTGAGTTCCTCAGATGCTTCAACTTAATTTTAAATTTGTAATTAATAATCATCGTGCAAAATTAAAATTATCTATTTTCAGTATGCTATTTATAAATATAATTTTTGATCTGTTACTTTTATTTGATCATATAATTCTGTTTATTTATTAATAAACACAGTAGCAAGTCAGTTCATTCTGAAAATTAAATATAAAACTGTTTATGATAATAATAATATTTAATTGTTATAGCATTCTTAATTATTTGTATACTGTTTTTTCTAGATTTTTTTCTTCTATTGGTTTTTATTTGATATATTGTATTTTTTTTTTTTCATATTTAAGGCAATAATACTTCCAATTTTCTTCAATTTTTTTTAATTACTGGCAGTTCATTTATGGCATATATAACGACAAAAAATTAGGTAAATACTTGACTAACACAAAAGACAAGGTAGAACCACTGGACAAGAAAAATGTTGTTTATAAATTAGACTGCCGACATTGCCAACAAATATATATAGGCGAAACATCAAAAAAACTAAAAACCAGTATAGCACAACATACATCAAACTGCAAAAATAGTAAAAACATTAACATAACAGCCCTAGCAAACCATAGCATTAAATCACTATACACTTTTGACTTCAAAAACCCAGAAATACTAGCAATATAACCAAAAACAAATAATAGGAAACTGCTGGAAGCTATACATATAACAAAAAACAATAATAGAACAGTAAACTATAAAACAGATACAAAACATTTAAGTACACACTATTCGGACATAATATCCAATATTGAAATTCAAAAAACAACAATAGCCAAAAAAAACACAACAAACAGCCATAATAAGAAATAAGAGGACAGGTACAAAGTACAGAACTAATGGTAGCCAGATATTGATTAGTGTATCAATGAATATGAAAAGATGTGTAACATCAAAAAATATTTTTAAAAAATGCGACAAATATTTGATTTTTTGACAAATGGTGTCACATCAAAAAAAGAAAGTGAAGATAAAAATTGCTGTGATGATGGGAAAATTGTCCTGAAACGTAAAAGATAACAAATGTAATTTAAAAAATTTGAAGAAAATTGGAAATATTATTGCCTTAAATATGAAAAAATTATAAACGTAGGCTTCCTAATAAAAAAAGAAAAATAAGAAGATATATTGTAGTTATTTTTAACAAATAAAAGACTATCATATGAAAATGGAAATATAAAATTTATATGAGGTTGATCCAAAAATAAAATAAATATTCTATTAGTTTGAGAAGTATTATGAACCTTTGAATGAATACTTTCAGTGTACGACGCCAACGCAAAGTTGCCATCAGGACTCCTCAGCGGGAACATGAACCAGTACGGAGACATGGACCTCTGCCTCCAGTCGGGCGCCCAATACTGCCTCGCCTACGTCGACATCAAGCTCACGGATCATGAGTACCATGTGCTGTCCAAGGTCCACTCCTTGCTCCATGCCCACTTTGCCTTTAGGAGCACCTTCCATGACGTGAGTACTACATTCTAATTAATTAATTAAGGAGAGCAAAAAATTTACATTATTGTATGGATGTTATTGCAAAATCTCAAATACCAATAAATAATTAAGCGGTCAAACTATTCTCTCATCAGACCTCAAAAAGATAAGAGGGCCGCAAACCAAAGCCACCTCATCTCATGTCAACAGTCTAAAAAAGGGACATCATCTCCACTATTACCTGCAGTGCATCACTAAAAAGCTATAACATAACATACATTCTAATTTTTCTGCCCTAATAGTGCCTACAGTGGTAAAACATTTATTGAATAGTTATTTACTGCTATTTAAAAGAGTTAATACTTCAGTTTTGGAATCTTGTTATTAATATTAAATTTTTGGCATAACTATCCACAGAATATGTGACAAGTTGGCAGTTTAGACAGTTTGCGAAGAGTGAATATTAAATTTAGTGAGGATATTTACTTATTAAACTATAAAATCTATACCTCTGGTAAAAACTGTGAAACTTGAGGAAATGTTATTGATGGAATCTCTATTAAAAATAAGTTTGATAAGATAAGATTCAAATAACTAACTTAAAATTAAGAACTGCATGATTAATAAAGAAAACAAAATATGTAACCTACATAGAAGAAGGCTCTATACCTAGGAAACAAAATGGTAGAATGATTAGATCAAAAGAATTGTTAAGTTCAAGAAGGAGTCATGGAGAACTTATAAGAGGCATGCATAAGAAACCGAAGAAAAGGAAGTGCTGGAGGCAGTTCTTCCAAGAAAAATTTAGGATGGAAGAACGTCATAACTGCAGGGACTGCAGAAGGAGAGGTATAGTGGATGAGCATTGCCCAGGCAGCAGGATAAAAAGAAAATAAAAAAAGGCATTAACATGCCTGTAGAATGGACAATACTTGAAAGCCAGACCGGAACTTAGTCGTCCTCATGGCTTACCCATGTGTATGCTCTTCGATGACATTGGAAAACTGGAGGCAACAAGAGAACACACCATTCTGGAGATCAAGACAAGCCAGGGACAGAGACCACTAGATGAACTGAAACTGCGACTCCATACTTAACGGCACACAGGAGTTAGGAGAAGACGAATTATTATGATTTTTCATCCTCCTGGAAATTTAATGTTTGAATTTTTTTTTAGTTTGCAATACACTCTTATTTTTATCTTGCCTATACTTAACAATTTTACTATTTAAATTAATTATTGACTTATTGTTTTTATCACGTAAGTTATATCTAAATATTTTTATTTTAACAGGACCATTTTTTTTCAAGTAATAGCTATGTGTGATTAAGAAGAAAAAACATCTTTTTTGAAAAACTGTATACAATATCAGGAGAGATCCCCTCAAGGAAAAAAAAATTTCTTGGGGATAGGAACGACAGAGTAGGGAGAAATTTCAACATATTGGAGGAGGTTAGGCGTATAAACATAAAAAATAAAACAGCTAATAAAAGGCCAGAACTGTATTGAAGTCAATTCAGTCAGTATTGATTGGAGAAATTGAAAGGGCCTTAAAAGAAATGAAAAATAACTAACCACCAGATCTGGAAAATGTACCTAGTTGATTAAAGCAGGGCCAATCGATTTACGAGATGGCCGATAACTGTTGTTTCTACAGATCCTAAGAAGCTGTGGCATCTCAAAGATCCTGCATATATTTAAAAGTATTATTAAAAAACATAAGGCAAAATAAGAATATTTTATGTAATATTGAAACCATGAGGCTTCAATGGTTTAGCCACTTAATGAAAATGGAAGATAACAGTTGACTGAAAAAAAATGTCCTTGTAAGTCGGAATATGAGAAGGACAGAGGATTGCCAAGGAAGATCTGAATGGAAAATGTCAATGAGAGAATGATTGTAGGAGGGTTACCAAGCAAGGGATTCTCTGATAGAAGAGAGTGGTGGGGAGAAAATTCTAGGGACCAGAATGCAATATTAATACAAAGTCTAAATAGTAAAAATATAAATTATAAAAAGATAAAGATTTTAAATTCAAAAAATGTTTGCTATATAAAGCAAATTGTAGGGTTTATTTTGTTATAAGTTTTTATTTCATTGTTATTTTACAGATCAATATCTAATATGCCTAATGAATCAATGTATTTTAAACAAAAATGTATACCAATCCTTTGTTATGATTTTCACAGCCAGGACACAGAGTCCCAAGATTTAGTAACCTTCATTGGGCAGTCTGCGTCCCAAGGTCCTGCTTACCGAAGGATGTTGAATCTTCTCTGGAATCGGTGGCTGATGAACTTTCTGCTGGAACAGGTCTTAAAACCTCTGTCATGGTGGTACCTGAAATGTGCCAAGTATCAAAACCTTTTTCCCCTCCTACTTCTACTATTTTTGTCGGGTAAATCAATTTATTATTATTTTTTGTATTATATCATATTTTATGTCATTTTAGGATTATTTTTTTTATTTATTTATCCTTTTTAAGTTGTTTTTTTGTGCCCACACGTCAAAATGAAACGACAGACCTTAAACAAGCAACTGAAAATACTGTACTCACTGTTTTCCAAATCAAAATTGAAAATCAGACAAAAACTCAATACATACACTTACCTACTCAAACCCATATGGATATACACCTCACAAATTTACGGTTCTGCAAAAAAGATTCACTACAGACATTTCAATCCAAAATTTTACGACTTATAACAGCAACTCCTTGGCACATAAACAACAAAACTTTACATAACGACTTAAGAAAACCAACTATCGACCAACACATACACGATCTCTATTACAGATTTTGTCTTAAAAACTACGTGGACATCACAACGGACTTATTAACAACATGGCCGATGTGGCCATGCTTATCAGGAGAATACTAAAGAGGAGCTGGATGAGAGATCTCCTTCCTTGAACTAAGGAAATAAATCAATAACAGGAAAAAGTGCTGCTGGGTACTATTTTTTTCCTCAGCCCTAAAATGTCAATTTTTTCGTATTAGTTACAGCACATCTGCTTATTGTCAAGCTCATGACAGGTGTGGATGGAAATATCAAGACAAAAAAAAAAAAGTTTTTTGCAATGTCAATCAATATCATGTAGAAAATCTTACTATAAATATTTTCATTGGATTCATCCTTAAAGCTACTTCCACCAAATTTATCTAACGTTTCCTAAATAGTACCGTCTTTATAGGTCTTTATAGCCTACTTGGCCATCACATCCCTATTTATTCTCAAAGAGTGATGTCTATATAATCCTGACTGTCTCTAATTTTTTTAGAGATCTTTATTGAAAAGCTTATCCTTAACAAAACTGACATTATTTCCCAAATTTTTATAAATGTTGAACCCAACCTGATTTGGGGTAAGATTTGAGCTGAGAAAATTCAGATTAATAAAGTAGTACTCAGATATAAATCTTAATGATAATGGACAAAGTAGTTCTGGACTTTTTTTATTTTTTTTTTTTATTTGTTTTCCACCCTCCCATGCCACCAGGGCAACACGGGTGTATGCAGTAGTGTGATGTTAAGCATTAATGCATAATAACACACTACTGCCATAATATCAGTTTACAAAATTCTAAGCTGTGCACACAGCTAGCTCTTCTACTTTTTCCTGGCTCCTTTAGGCCTGGCTTCCCGAATCCGGAGGTCTTCCTGGGACTGGTCCTCTTCTCCTTCTGCGTGCACCTAGGTTGAAGTGAGCTGGGCCCACCGCCGTCTTCCAGCCATTTATAAACTCTTTGAACCGCGGGAAGTTTTCTTCACTCACCAACTGAGGAAACTCCTCCTCAGTGAGGACGTAAATCCCCGTGGTTCTCATTAACCTCGCTCTTAATTCGTCGAAAGCAGTGCAGGCCGTGACCACATGCTCAACAGTCTCCGGAACACCACAATCGGGGCAGTGGGGATCTATATCCTGTCCGTAGCCATGGAGTTTAGCTCTGAAACCCCCATGTCCCGTGAGAAATTGTGAAACCCAATAGTCCAGGAGGACCCATTTCGCCTGTAACCGAGATTCAACGGTGGGAAAGTATTTTCTTAAGGTACTGCCTTTCGGAGTCGTCACCCACCGTCTGCTCCAATCTTCAATCGTTTCCTCCCGGATAATCTTTTTCCATTTATTTGGGTTTTCAATAATCCTCATCCGTAGGTTCTCCGATTGACTAGTTGAGCCCTCCTTCTTGTAGTCATACCTGGTCACTTCTTCTCGCAGGAGGAGGTCGAGAGGCACCACCCCCGCTAAGACCTGCACTGCTTCATGCGACGTAGACCTATATGCTCTAGTGACCCGAAGCAGAGCAGTTCTCTGAGTCGATGCTAGCCTATTTCTTTGTCTGAGTGTGAGGTTTCGGAACCAGAAGGGAGACGCATACCTAAGGATACCCTCCACAACACCCTTATAAATAGTGATAGTGGCTGGATACCTAAGGCCCCAAAATGCGCCCCCCACACGACTTAGACCGTTCATTGCTAGGGCCACAAGTAGTTCTGGACTTATGAATTATGTAATTCTCAAAATAGGCTTCAAAAGAATAAAAAATTAACTTGAGTGACTATTGTGCAGATTAAAAGTTAAGACCCTTAACTGTTCTCGTTAGCGAAAACTAAATATTAGCAACTAATGGAATATGCCTTATAAAATGTGATAATGCAGAGAATGAGGAAAAATGTCGGCGGAATTGTTCTTTCAATTACCTTGGAAGATCCCTTTCTTTCTTCTACCTTACTTTTTCATTGTTTCTTTAGTTGAAAAAAAAATTTAGAAACAAACATCAATCATTTAAAAAATATATATGAGTTTTTCATAAATAAATATAGGAAATCAGATAATTTTATAATAATGACATCACGTTTGTTCCAGGTGTTTATTTCTAATTCTTTTTGGAACAATTCTTTTAGCTACATGTTATGAGTTCTTCTATTGGACTGGAAATACTAACAGTAAGTCTTAAATTATTATTAGGTAGTAGTTTCATCAAGTAATTATGCTTAATTGGGTTATTTACTTATCTCATTAATAACTATAACTTTAAAAACTAAATATATTAATTTAGTTTTATATTTTTAATTTTCTGATTTTATTTATTACTCACGTACAAGAAAAGTGAGATCACCAAAAAAAAAAAAAAAAAAAAAAAAAAAAAATGATATTTTTTGTCAGTTTCAGAAATGGGTCCAATGTGACCTACTGTAAAAGTTAAATCAGTGTATGTAGTTGTCAGAGAAAACACTAGATGGCATGCATGTCATGTCACTTAGCTTTCCCAAATAATGTTAGATAGGACAAGAATAGACTATCTCAGTTGTGGGACAGTTGTTTTTGCACAGCATAGTGTAAAACAAGAAAAATTTCCCATTTGGAAATAATTGGATGCAGTTATATTGTTCTATTGAAAAGATTTTTTTTTTTTATAAATAAGCATTTTTCCTTTTTTCTCCTTTATTTAATTATAAAATTCTTTAAAAAGTCATATTTAGCCTTTTTTCATAACTACTGACAGTGATAGATAGTTAATTATTTAAAATAAATCATATCAAAGGTACTTCAGAGGAGGAAATATTGAACATTGGGCATTTAAGCCCTGTTACGCAACATCAATGGGGATGAGACCTACCTGATATTAAATATAATTTAATTGTACATTAATACGTTGCGTTTAATCAAAATCGTTATTGCCGTTTTTGAGACAATTGTAAAAATGTATAAAATCGATGATATAAAGTGGCACTTCCGGTTTGCCGATTTTGAGGAAAAAGCTGCTGTAACGTCCCGGGCATAACTTAACTTAGATATGTATTTTCAGTTTCGTACGACTTTTTATTTTTGAGCTAGACTGTTCACAACACTCAGGCAGACCATTTTGTGCGACTTGGTTATTTGGACTCAAGAGACCTCAAAACGTGTATTTCCGTTGAAAACTCAAATTCCAAAACTTTCACAATCGCAATAATTTCCCTTATTATTTATTACGTATTTAGGTAAGTGGAAGTAAAAATGTATATTTCGTAAGTCATGCCATACTACTCCAATGAACATAATGCCTGCCTGATATTAAAGAACACTTATTTTAATTGATATAACCATTTTTATCAAAAAGTTTCATCTGTTTTTGAGAAAATTGTAAAAAGATGTATAATATAATGAGTGATATATAAAGTCATAACCTCCAAACCCAAATATCTTGTAAAATATTTATCAATATCTCCCATCTTGATATATTGTGAAGGGGACTAGTCTATGGATGTGGGAGAGTAAAATAACATACATATTTGTGCCAACCATTCCTGTTCCACAATACGTGCTGTTTTTTGTAGTTGTTTTTATTTTTTCCTCCTCATGAATCAGATATGGTAAGGTGAGAGGTAATTGAAAAAAAAAAAGAGTTTTTAATTTTGGCATAGCATTGGAGTAGGTAGGTAGGTAACAAATATTTAATAGGTAACAATATTTAATAATCAAACAGGACAAGTTTTGGATAGTTATGACGAAATATAACATTTTATGATTCCAATTTGTGCATTTATTGTACAAGGTTGACCGATTATAACATTTCATGATTCTGATTTTTACATCTATTGTACGAATTCAACAAAATATTACAATTTATGAATCCATTTTGGTTTAAATAGAGAAGTGCCTCGATGGAATTTTATAGTCCCATTGATTTGAGATCCTTAAATTGGTTATTTTGTATCACTAGAAACCATTGCAACTAACTGGCTTGGTTCCTTTCTCTACTTGACAAAAAATATACAGGTCTCAAAAATGATGTTTCCGATAAAGTAAGTAAGTTTGATATTTTCATGACTAAACGATGAATTTTGGTCAAAACAATATGATGGCCAAAAATATAAAGGTCTCAAAATGATATTGGTGATATAAAGTAATAATATTCACTTCATATTTCATAAAATTAAACTTATTTCTTATTTCTATATCTGAAAGATGTTAGCAGTAATGATGAGAGGATTACATGCAACATTTTTCCATTTATGCAGCTCCTTGGGAGTTCTTTGTAATTTTTTTTTTTTTTTTATAGAACAATTTCATTTGATATTTTTATTTTTTAGATTTCTGGGTAGAAATTCTAATGGCATTTTCATTGAAAAAAAATAGCAAAAAACTGTTTTCCCTTGAAGCTTCTTCTGATGATATATCAAGTCTTCATGGCATCAGGTGCTTCAATGCCATTATGTTGTATCTGTCTCATAAATCTATGGCTCTTTTTTTCAACCCTTACATAAACAGAACGCATATGACAGAGGTAAGACTTTTTTTAATTATTATTAATTAAAATCATTTGAATATATTAGGTGTTGAGTCAAAAGAAATTTGTGGAAAATTCTATTCACTACAACATCTAAAACTTCACTAATTCACTAAGATACTACTTAAGGTATTAGTACTTAAAGTACAGTTTGAAGCATAAATAGAGCAACACTCCATTTAGAAAAATATATCAATTGGGAAATATTTCCTTTTATATAATCTGAGGGGGTTTGTTTAACCAACAAAATGTAATAATAATAACAAAAGGCTTAGTGAACCCGACAGTTCGATGCCGACTCCACCAATCGCTTATAACACACCTCCCTCCACCGTTCGCCGTCCCAAACCCATTCTCTTCAGATCGACTTTTACACAATCTAACCCTCAGATGTTTACCATTCAGTACAGCAAATATTAACCTTTTAGGAATTCTTTCGTTACTAAGCTCAACAATTGTATAAGCCCATTTGATTCGCTGCGATGTAATCAGTATTCTTTTTGTATCTCTCAACTATATGCTGGACAGTTGAAGGGCTTTTTAAAAATAATTTTGGCTATTTCATTAAGAGATTTCCCATCATTAAAATGTTGAATGACCAACTCACGCTCCTTAAAGGTTGTATGTACTCCCATTATTGAAAAAGTTCAAATATACTGCAGATATTGCTACACTGGCTTTGAAAAGAAGCAAACACTTTCGACACAAGAGTTTAACTAAAAGAAAATAGTTTAAGATAAATAAATATTGGTTTAAAAAAGGTGTATCATTTTCACTGTGACATCAGTCAATCGTAAACAAATGTATTTATTTTTATTATTGAATTCTGTTTAATTTGATCTGTTTATATATAAAGAACACATTACTAGGATGTGTATTGATTACAATTAATTATTAATTTCAATGTAATATAAATTGAATTATTTATTTATTTTTTTAGTAATTTCAATCAATATTCAGGTATATCATTTTGACTATGAGCCACTGTATATAAGCATGATAAGGTTAAAATGTTAGCTAGTAATCTTATACCCTTCATGTTACCTTTGTCACATGCACCTGGTCTTACTTAAGTTGTTACTTGATGATATTTTGTTGTTATTAATAATTTAATTTTGTTTGTAGGCATTGGGGAAACCATGGACTGTGGTTGCAAGAGCTGCTAGTCTTTATACGGATCCATTTATTATGATGAGTGGGCTCCTCACAACTTACACTATTGGCAAGCGATTTATTAAAACAAACTCTATTGATGTTCCCAAGGAAATAGCTTCAAGAGTTATGAGGTTAGGGATGGTTCAGTTATTTTTTTACCTGTATGTTAAAAAAAAGATGGTTTATTCTCATTAACATAGTTTAATCTTCAAAACATAGGCCCTCTCTATCTGTCGAATCAAGCTCACTCAGAACAAATAACTCCACAAAGGAACCCATTCCCCCTCCCTACCCTCAAGGTTAATGGCCCTACCTTCCCTCAAGAAGTTTCATTATTATCTTTAAGAAGAGCGGAAGCAAAAGTAGAACGAGGCAAATTGTAGTGCATTTAATACAATTAATTTTGCTGTTTCCATTCAATATTTATTCTTTGTTCCCTAGTTTGAAAGTTCCTCCAAATTGAAATCTCACAAAAATATGATTCCCTCCAAAATAATTCATAATCCTATCAAATTTTATAAAAATTGCATAATCTATAAGAAAAGAAAATATACCTTTAATGAGATCTATCTTACAAGGGAACACTATAAATGTGGGGTCACTGATTTCAATTTCGGTGATACCAGGTCGAAAAGTATTGGACCCATACCAGCAGATTCTATCTAATACCTAAGAGCCCAGAAAAATATTTTAATAATTGAATACTAATATTTGTTTATACTATTGTTTTATCCTTTGCTCGGCATGGATTTCTAGGTTATAATGATCAATCAATTTTTTTTTTATGTGTAAAAGAAAAAAACACACTGCAACAATAGTTTAGAACCACCAGGTATTTTATTAAATAGTATGATTTAATCTCTCAAAACATTAATTAATCTTATGGCATATGTACTATAATTACAGAATACGTTACAGTAACTGACTTGTAATAACAATTAATTGTATTAATGAGATGTAATCACATAATCTTAAATCTTTAAATAAGAAGATTGTATTGTTTCACTGGTACAACATCATAAAGTTCAAATAGTAATTCATAAAAATAAATGCATTAGTTGTCTGGAGTTTTAATTACTTTTAAGCACATTTCCTAGGTAAGACTTTTTTTTTTCCCTCTAAGAATGGGTAAAAAGAAAGAATTTTCCATTGAACTGTGTAGTGCTATTTACACATTACACAAGGAAAATAAATCTAAAGTCCAGATTGATGCGCAATTAAAGGTATCAAAAAGTAGGGTACGTAACACCATTGTTTGCTGTGAGGAGATGCACTCTCACCACAATAAAGCTCGAACAGGTAGATCTAAAATGACAACTACTGCAAAAGAAAAGTTTATGATTATAAAAAGCAAGAGGAACAGAAGACCGATTGCCCCTCAGATTCGAGCTGAAGTCAATTCAATAGTGTCGCCAAGAAATCGGTTTCTGTTGCAACAATAAAATGAAGACTCAACGAGGCCAATGTACTGGAATCAGTGAGCATTTGTTCGTAACGATTTAACAGTGGAATCCTTGAGAAAAGTACTTTAGACAGACAAAGAAAATTTCCTGATATTTGGATTGAATCACCGAATTATGGTTCATTGGTCATCATCAGAAAAATGTATTGGCCAATGTCCTTTGTTTAGTCCCAACTGCAAAATAAGGCATCGAAGAGATTCAGTTCCCATGTGGGGATATTTCACAGGCTGAGGAAGGAGATGTACGAATTACTGGAATTATTAACAGACTTATAAAATCATTTTGCAGGATCATATTTGGATTGATGTCATATTGGTGTTGTGTCAATTTTTATGATATACAAATCTAAACTTGTGTTCTCCTTGAAAAAAAAATTGAAACCACATGGCTCCTACAGTCGATACAAATTGGTTCAATGTTGTAGTCGTACTATAGCTATTAGTTAGTTTGGAGCTACAACACGTTGACGCGTCCAGGCCTCCTTTACCAGCAACCTCCAGAAGTTTCTATCCTGCGCTGCTGCCATCCAGTTGTGAACTCCCAAACTCCTCCGGCCATGGACTATCTCTGTCAGTAATCTTATAGGAGTTTCCTGTTCCTCCGTACTATAGCTATGCCAAATATAATTTTTTTTCTAAACTGGAGGAGTGAGTAAGACTCCATTTGTACGTAAAACCTGATGTACTCTCCCTGTTTAGTCTGAAAATAGTAATAAAGCATGTGTTGTATAACTTTATAGTAATTTTCACCTTCAATTCTTTTTTCAAAAATCAACAAAATTGTAATAACTTCAACATGATTCCATCTGTCCAAACTAAATGTCGCCCCAGCGAAAATCTCATTTTCGGCCCTATAAACTGCATGAAGTGAAACAAATGTAGCCCCCAGTAGATGAATTTAAAATTCTTTATAATGAAGTAAAATCTAAAAGTTATTGATATGATTTTGAAGAGAAACAATTCAGATTTCTAACAGTTTTTGTAAACTTGAATTAGGAGAAAATATTGAGGAATTATGAATGCTTTAGTAAACTGTATAAAAAAAGTCCTCCAAGAAAATAAAGACCAAAAATTTGTATTTTTTATTTCAAAAGAAATCCGTATTTAAGATTTTTAAAAGGGCTTTAGGAACAAAAGTGCATTACTTTTTCATGACAAAAATTATTTTGCTAACTTTACTTAAAGCGTTTTTTGGTTATTATAATTTATTATACATTTGTATTCCTTTAATACAGTGGTCTCCAAACTACGGCTGAATTCAACCCGAAGCACCTCAAATCCAGCCGTAAAAGTTTCTTTGATTACATGATAAAATTTTGAAAATATGAAATTCAGCAAATTATTCACACTAGGTTATAACAACAATTATTGCATGTTTTTTTTTTTCCTCTTAGAAAGCTCCTTTCACAACATAAGTGCCATTTATAGAACAAGATTTTTTTTTTTTTCAACAGAAGCCATGGTCCGCAGGACAAAAAGTTTGTAGACCCCTGCTTTAATTCAACATCAATATGTTGTTCTTATTTTACACACAGAAAAAAATGTATTGATATCTCGTTGACACGGTGTTAAAGGAACGAATGTTAACCTGCCCAACGTTACACATTCTTTACTTTTAACATGATGCAGATGATATGATAACCTAGATATCTTTACAGAGCAAAGGCAGAAAAATACTTTTAAAAAAATATTAAAATTCTTATGTCCCCACCAAGGTTCATTGAAATTGGTGACCTTACTGTCATATCCGTAGCCTCCTCTTTTTAGTAGAAACCAACTCTTTACTCGTCTTCTTAATTATTTCTCCAATGTTTGGATTGAAATATTTTTTATTAAAATAGCATAACACTGCAAGAATAATGCTGTAAAAGCCATGTGTTTAATTGGTTCATTCACCACGGCAACGCACCTGCCCACACAGCACTGTCAGTGAAGCAGTTTTTGACCAGAAGGGAATAACGATGATTGTTTACTCTCCTCCTCTATTCATGTGCTTTCCAGAATCCTTAGAAGTTTGCTCCTTTGTACAAATAGTTAGTTTATAGTATAATGGTTAAAAATAGTTTTGCATCATTTTTTAAGAAACTGCATATTTGTCAATCATTATTGTTGCACTTGAAGCTTTGTGTTACGAAAAACTCATGTGGCTTAATTTAATGGAATTCATTTTAATGTTCCATTTCTGAAATAAATTTTTGAGATCAATGTAATGGTTTTAAAGGGCAACAGGTGCAATGATTGGATTTGTGTGTTATCAGAAAAAAGAAGGTGAAGAAGTTGTAGAGACACTAGAGATTATTTAAGGTGTTATGCGAAAAGAGGAAACGGCTTAAAACACTAACTTCTGTTTTCTAGCAAGTTGAGAAAACTTTTATATTTTCTCTTCATCTCCTAATTGTTAACAAAGAATGAACTACATTAATAAGAAAATTCAAATAATTTAGGGATTCATTTAGTTTATAATTTCAGATTGGTGCCAACGATGGCTGGATTGATCTTGTTCTGCACGTTTATACTTCCCCACCTTGGCTCAGGTCCACAATGGCCTCTGGTTGTAAACCACCACGCAGAGCTCTGTAAACAGTACTGGTGGAGGAATATATTGTTTATTCACAATTACTTTGGTTTTAAGAACATGGTAAGTATTTACTATATATTTAATTTGCATTAAGCTGCAAAAATGGCGATATTGATATAGAAGGTAATTTGTTTGAACACGTAGAGAAGTTTAGGTATATCGGGTTTATGATGGCAAGATAAACAAAATTGAAGAGAAGATTAAGGTTAGGCTGAAGGCGGAAAATGCTTGTTGTTTTTCTGTGACTAAACTACTTAGCTCGCGGCTCTTGTCCCAAAACTTAAAAACTAGAATCTATAAAACCAATTTCTTACCTACAGTTCTTTATGGGTGCGAACCATGGCCACTTACATTGAGGGATGAGCAACATCTAAGGTTTTTGAAAATAAAGTATTGCGTACAATATTTGGATTGAAGAAGGATGAGTTAATCGGAAAGTTTAAACACTACACAGTGTTTAGTAAATATCTGATTGTCAGTAACCCATGCTTGAGATAAAATAATTATAAATTTCAAGTTAATATATTAATAGTCTTCTAATTTTTTTTATTATTTAATAATCTCTTATTTATTATTTATTAAGTATCCCAACAGTATAAAGTGATCTGCCGAGGCTATATTATTGTTTGTAAAGTATAAGAGAGATGTTACAATATATACACACATGAAATTTCATACCTTTATTATATATATATCTACATTTTTTTTTTTTTTTTTTGTTTGCAGTGTTTAACTCATACTCATCATATCGGGATCGACACCCAGCTGTTTCTTGTTTCACCTTTGTTAATCTTCTTGGTCTATAAATGGCCGAGGCACGGATTGTTAACTCTACTCTCGATTGGAATCATATCGACAATATTAAGATTCTATACAGTCTATATTAAGCAACTCAACTTATATGTTTACTTTGGGAACCCGTAAGTTGTTTTTTAATAGGTTAAAAGGTTAACATTTAATGTATAAACAATGAATGGGTAAGCAAAGTATTGAGAGCACCTTAGGCCCGAATAATACATTTTCAGCCATTATTCTGTCTAAGATTATCTTGGGAACTATTTTGTTGCTTCTTTTTTTGTTTGTATTATTGAAGAAAGTTAGTCGATCATGGGTGATAAATAGTCAGGACACAGTGATTGTTAATGCCTATCTCCTTAAATAAAGATAAAGTATATTTTCAAAGTAGTTTATCCTTACAGTGTCTGGAAGTTAAGTGTATATATATATTCAAAGAATTCAAACTGCCGGTTCTAAATTAGGTCGATCTGATAGTCCTACTATTAATATGTTTTTTCAGGATTTTCATTGTAATTGTTTTGTTGAGCCTACTTTTTTAAAATTTATTATTTGTTTTATGCCAAGGCAAGGCACGTTTTCAGGTGGTAAACATCATTGCAGAGCGGGCATTCATTACTCCTATTTAGTTTAAATGGGCCTGCGAAGGTTCATGGCTTGTGGGGGTTCTGAAACAAGCTACTGCGTCTATTGGTAGGTCGTCTAGGTGTTTATTTTGTAAGAGAAATTCATACTTCTTTCCTGCAACCTTAGTATTTAGTTTTTCTGTGCCTCACTTTTTAAGTAATAAGTTGTGCTGAAGTATAATGGAGCAATGGGTCTGGTTGGGACAATAGAAAACCTTCCTTAGCTAGAGCATTAACTGCATTATTTTCAGCAATACCACTACGACTGGGTTTATATTGAATAGTGACATTCATACTATTTGCATGAAGCTTCTGAAGAAGTCGTCACTAAGCAAGCTAAAAATGTTGGGCCTACATAAGTGACATTTTTTTTTTTTTTTATAGATGTTGGCTCAGGGCACGTCGACCCCTGAAGGGTCTATTGTGTGCATAGGTAACATTATTACACTATTCATAAAAGTTGAGTTGTGGGAATGTCTAGGTTGTTTAAATCTGATAAAATTTCCAACAATTTAGTATTGAGGTATCCAGCGCATTGGCAAACAAACATCTCTACCATTATCTGCTACTGGTTGTATTTCATAGTTAAGAGAAGACTATTAAAGACTCCTCCCATCTGACAGGTATGATGGCTGACCTTCGTAGGCCCCGCCCACAACGGAGTATCCTTTTCTTCCTGATTTTATGGAACATTAGATCAATTGATCAACAAATGGCCTTAGTTTATGGTACCTCTCTGACTAGGACATTTACAGTACTATTACACATAGCTTCAATATAATATGACATTTTCACTTTAAAAACTGTGGCATGTATATTACAGCATGATAATCATAAAAGGCATAGCAATAAGAAAATATTGAAAGAAGAATGGAAATATTAAGTTTAAAGAAAACTAAATTATTCTGTGTTGTTGATTGATATTTAACTTTATTGTTGAATTGTTATTTTATTTTTAGGGTTGCTCAAATGTTCAATACTGCTGATTACTCCTATATTCTCCCGACTCACCGTGCAACTGTGTACGTTATAGGAATAGCATTGGGATATTTTCTCCAACAATTAGGAAGAGATGTTAAACTGAAAAAGGTAAATGCAATATAATTTTGGTCGTTACGACTTTCATCACTGAACTTCTTGATATATTACTATCGATTTCATGATTTATTTTATCAATGGAAACTGTCTCAATTTACAGGCACATATGACACTGGGTTGGTTGGTCAGTATTTTACTGTTATACTTCTCTCTCGTGCATCCGTCTAAAATGGGGGATAGATCATATATCTACGACAGAATGGATGCTGCTAACTATTCCGCATTTGCGCCAATTGCTTGGTGTTTATTTTTCTCTTGGTTAATATTTCTCTCCCATACTGGAAATGGAGGTAAGCTTACTCTCTTTTCTTATTTTTGTTAATTTATTTATTTATTCCATCTTCACTTTTTGAAATATTTTACTTCTTGCGTAAAGTTGAATTCTAACAGGTAAATGCATAATTAATAGTAATATCTCAGTTCAAAACTATAGCTTTATGTGCTATTAGTTCAACCTGTCGTGGCATGCTCTATACATAAACAACTTCGAGAAAGTATTTTATAAATGTATTGTTTGAGAAAAATAAGGTCCAGTTCATTATTCCAAGATAGCAGCCGGTTTCACGAACACCCACATTTTGTTCAAAAGGAGATAGAGCTGATTAATTCCCAACCCTTGGCTGCAGAGATGGACCATTCCGAGCGGAACGGTTCGCTGAATTGATTCAATCACTGGAATGGGTTCGGAACAGAACAAGACCCTAGAAAACTTGGTTCGCTGGAACGTAATTTCAGAAGATAATATAAACGTCTTCAGTGTTTGATGGGTAAATGTTTTAGTAGAAAAGTCAAATAGGTACAATTAGAATTTATAACAATTATGGTGAGTGTGCTTTAGCTGATTGCTATCAAAGTGTATTACCAGAATAGTCCAATTGGTTGTTTGCTTCAAAAGTGAACCATAACAACTAAATTTAATTTATTGTTTGATTAAATATAAAGAAATACAATTAAACTAAAATATAATGAGATCCTAACCATGAATTTAAGATAACAATTTGCAAATTGAAAAAAATGCCATGATTCAGATAAATTATTAAAATAATTATAAATAAATATTTTAATCAAAATTTATTATTATGAAGACCATTGATAAATATGTGGTTTTGGTGTGAAAATGAAATTTGTCATAGAAGATTTCATATCATTGGTTTTTTCCTCAGATTATTTGGATTTATAAAACCTAAGATTTCGCATTTTACTTTTGTTAGTTACCTGTAAAAGTCATGAGATATATCAATACTATTTAAACATTTTTGAAAGTTTACAGTTGACAATTTATAAACTATATTTTAGTCAAATTGCAAGTTTTCAAGTAATGCGCTAATTTTATATTGGCGTTTATGTAGGTTTTTAGTTCACTTTCCACAATTATCTAGTCCTGTCATTAATATTGCTATAAGGAAATATATACAGATTTCGACAGAAAATTTAATTTTTTCAAAAACTTTATTAGAAAATAAAATGTTTATCTATAGAGAGCAAAACAAAAAAAAAATTACTCAAAATGTCCCCCTTTTGCCTTGACACAGGCATTTAATCTCCATGGCCAGTCATCAATAGCAGCACGCAGCACTTCTTGAGGAAAGCGCTCAACTGCTCGGACCAGAGATTGTTTGAGGCTTTCCAAGTTAGGGTGTGCTCTGTGGCATGCCATCCTCTCCAGTTCGAACCAAAGCCGATAATCTAGTGGGTTGAGATCAGGGCTTCCTGAGGGTCAATCCGAAGCAGAGATGAACTCTGGAATGTTCTTTTTTAGCCACTGCTGAGTTGACCTGGCCTTGTGAGCTGGAGCGGAATCCTGCTGGGAAACCCAATGACTTCCTGCAAACAGAGTATTATTTAGAGGTTCATCAACAGGTTCCAAAATATTGTCCAAATAGTTTTTAGCGGCTGTTTTGATTCCTTTTTCTCAAAAATGGAGCTTTGTGGTGCCATCAAAGCAAACTCCTCACCAAACCATCACTGAGGAAGGGTGATGACCTCTCTCCATTCTTCCAATGACTTCCTGGGCTTCTTTAGAGCTGTGTGCTTACACACAATCATTTTGGGGATGAAATTTTTCTTAAATTTTAAAAATTTTCTCATCGCTAAACAAAATCTTTCGATGAAGACCATTGGTGTAACGGCCAAGAAGCACTTTGCATATATCTTCTCTAATTTGTTTTAGTGAAGTGGTTAGCCTTTATCCTGTCATTCTTCGAAATGTACCCATCCTAAGGTCACTTTTTATTACGCAAGACATTGATCTGACGGAATTTCTTCTGATTCGAGCAGCCACTGCTCTCACTGCATTTGCCGTTCTCAAAGTGCGGTACGGCCCGGTCAAGGTCTGTCACATACAGATAAGGTCTCATTACTAAAGCGTGGTACACGAATATACGGCTGATACCCAAAGGTTTCAAAGTGCTCTCAAAATCTCTGACCTACATTTTCCAATTTTGTGTAAGGCAATTCAGTTTAATTTATCACCCCACTCCATGTTAACTGAGCAAAAGAAAAATACAAACTAATTGAGATTATTATCCTGACATGTAAAGAAAATAACCTGCTAGAGGTAAGGATTATCTAAATAATACCCAAGGATGTAAACAAAGTTTCAACTGTTGTAACAGTATTTATAGCAGAACTAGGTATTATATATTTGCCTTACATTACAAATTTAGTATTTATTAGCCTTATATTACAAAAATCATTATTTGTTTGCCTTATCTTGTTTTAAACCTCGTGATTTCAATTCCCTAGGCTTCCTCTGTGACCTGGCGTCATGGAAAGGGTTTCAGATCACATCAAGGCTTTCTTATACCTTCTATTTAACACAGTTTCCAGTTTTCTTCTTCAATGTTGGAAGGACTCGTCATTCTGATTATTACACAATGCAATTCTTGGTAAGGAGTAAGGTTATTTTATTATTTAACTTTTTAATTTATTATTAATCCCAATAATGAACCTTTGTAATCAATGAAGAAGAAAAAAAAATTTACCCTCTTAAAGTTTAAGATTTTACCTATCTTGGAAAATATATTATCAGAATTTTCAGTCAAAATTGTTGCCATTATGACTAGTTATGTGAAATGATTTTGTTTTACAGTGGAATATGCTACATTTATATTTATCAGGGTTATCCAGTGGTGTCATATATTAAGTATTTTTAATAACATCATAATAATAATAATAATAAGGCTTAGCGAACCCGAAGGTTCGATGCCGACACCACCAATCGCTTGTTACACACCTCCCTCCACCGTTCGCCGTCCAAACCCAGTCCCTTCAGATCAGCTTTAATGCAATCTTCCCACCTTCGCTTCGGTCTACCCCTCCGACGCTTACCATTCGGCACAGCAAATATTAACCTTTTAGGAATTCTCTCGTTACTAAGCCCAACAACTTTACAAGCCCATTTGATTCGCCGCGATGAAATTACCTCAATTATATTACCCGGATATAGCTCACGCAATTCGGCGTTGTGTAACCGTCTGAACTCTCCGGTTAACTCATCCTTCTTCGGTCCGAATATTCTACGCAATACTTTATTTTCAAAAACCTTAAGACGCTGCTCATCCCTTAATGTAAGCGGCCAAGTTTCGCATCCATAAAGAACTGTAGGCAAGATTATTGTTTTATAGATTCTAATTTTTAAGTTTCGGGACAAGAGGCGCGAACTGAGTAGTTTTGTCACAGAAAAATAACAAGCATTCCCCGCCTTCAGTCTAACTTTAATCTCTTCTTCAATTTCGTTTTTTCTAGTTATCGTAGAACCTAGATACCTAAATTTATCTACCTGTTCAAACATATTACCATCTATATCGATATCACCAGTAGTATCGCCATTTTTGCAGCTAACCATATATTTTGTTTTATCCACGTTTATTTCGAGTCCTAGTTCTTTACCGGCTTTCATTAACGTTGTCGTATTTAGTTTTATAGTTTCAACGTCTTCGCTTAACAGTACCAGATCATCAGCATAGCCCAGCACGGATGTTGTCCCGCCCAGATCCAACCCTTTCTCGGTACGCATTACCTCCCTAATGGCATGTTCTAATGCCAAATTGAACAGGACAGGCGAAAGAGAATCCCCCTGTTTTAAGCCCGAACGAACCTCAAATTTTTCGGACAAATTATTACCGATTCTGACTTTATTGAGTGTCTCCGTCAAGCACATCCTGACTAGATTTACTAGTTTTTTTGGAATTCCCTGCTCGATTAGAATATTATACAGTTTCTGGCGGTCAATAGAATCGTAAGCCTTTTTAAAATCTATATACAGCTGGTGAACAATACCGTTATACTCCAATTTTTTCTCTAATATTTGCCGTAAAGAAAATATTTGATCAATAGTCGAACGATTCCGTCTAAATCCGCATTGGTAGTCTCCGATAATTTCCTCGGCGTATTCCGTGATTCGACTGGTTAAGATTGAAGTGAATATTTTATAACATACCGGAAGGAGTGAAATTCCTCGATAGTTATTACAATCCGTCCTCGGACCCTTTTTGTGAATCGGAATAAGAATAGATTCTTTCCATTCTTCAGGTAATTTCTCGTTCACCCAGATCTTTTTAACCAACCGATGTATTTTAGAAACTCCAGCTTCTCCGCATGCCTTAATTAGTTCAGTAGGAATATTATCGATTCCCGCTGCTTTATATGATTTTAATTTACCGATAGCTACTTCAACTTCCTCTTTACTCGGTCCTTCTATCAACGGTTCAGCACTCTGGTACTCAGAAGGAGGACACAGATCATAATTTCCCGTATTTAAAATATTGTCAAGGTGGTCCTTAAACTTATTCAATATGTCAACCGGATCGGTCAGAATATTGTTATTATCATCCCTAATTCCAGACGTTACGGGCCCTACATATTTACGTGATCTGTTTATACCTTTGTACATGTCTCTTACGTTATTTTGGATTCTATTAGTTTCTATTTCAATTATTTTATTTTTAAGATACTCCTTTTTTTTATTTTTGAGCAATTTTGTCGTTTCGTTCTTTGAGATTCGGAAGTATTCCAGATTTTCTTCGCTAGGATTATTTAGAGCTTTTAATTTAGCGGCTTTCCTTTTTTCGCACATGTTTAAGCAATCTTCATCAAACCACGGTTTGTTATTCTTATTTTCCTTTTTTCCTAGACACGAGTTACCGACCGCTTTAATATTATCCCTGATCTCTACCCATAACTTGTCAATATCCTCGTGGTCCTCGTCAGGAAGCTCTAAAGCTTCAAACCTATTCTTAACATCTAGCTCGAATTGGTTTCTAATTGATGGATTTTTTAATTTTTCCAAATTAAAATTCTCAAAATCGAAACGGTTTTCTTTTCTCTTTTTTATATTAAGTTTTTGTCGAAGTTTCGCGATTACTAATTCATGATCCGACCCACATTCTGCTCCGCGATAAGACCGTACATTGATTATACTGCTTTGCCAGCTGTGTTGTATCAAGACATGATCGATTTGATTTCGTGTTTGCGAATCCGGCGATGTCCAAGTATATTTATGAATATCCTTACGTTTAAACGTCGTACTTTTAATTACCAGGTTTTTCGAGATGGCAAAGTTTATCAGACGGATCCCATTATCATTACTATATTCGTGCAAACTTTCTTTACCAATCGTCTGAATATAAACTTCTTCCCTTCCTACCTTTGCGTTCGCGTCACCTACAATTATTTTCATGTAGTTTCGCGGTAGTTTATCATAAACCCATTCGAGTTTATCGTAAAATTCACTTTTGACTTCATCGTCACTGTCTTCGGTCGGACAATGTATGTTTATTAATGCGATTTTAAACCAACGTCCCTGAAATGTAGCTACCGAAATTCTATCACTAAAGAATTGTACTTCCCTCAAAGCGGATAGTAATCTACTCCTAATTAGAAACCCGGTACCTAAACAATGATTCCCGCTTCCTCCGTACCAAATAGTGTACTTTCCTTCCCTGTCCTTGATGTTATTACTTTGTAATAACATCATAGTGATTTAAATTACAAAAGCATGAATTGGAATTAAGTTTTCTAGTAGAGAGAGATGCTGTATTTTCAATTTAAATTTTCAAACTATGAGAGCAGTATTGCTAACCACATAGCAGTGGTTTTAAGTTTGTGACTGATTAACAACAGATACCTACCCAAAAATGATATTATTCTAATACCTCGGTTCGTAGATATTGCTTTATCAATTGGATTGATTCATTTTCCCTTGATCTTCAACTTGTCAAAAATCGTCGGCATTAAAAAATAGTACAATATTATTTTCTTTTTAAGATTTTTTTTTAAGGTTTAATGAAAATATTAACTGGTGAGAAATTCCCAATTACTATTTTGTATATCATATTACGTGCATCATATTTAAAAATGTTTTACTGACTTTTTTGAATTTTTTTTTATAGTTTGACGTCAAAGAGACCGTTGCTGTGGTAATTGCCTCCATCTTGTTAAGCCTGTGTATCGAAATGCCTTTTCAAAACATAAGGACTGTTTTAATTAAGAAACCCAAATCATTAAACGTTAAAATAGAGAATAAAATAAAGTAGTCATATGTAGCAATATACAAACTTGTTCGAAAGCCTTTTGGTGAATTTCCTCAGACTGAAAATAGATCAAGTTGTCGAGTTTTAGATCACTCACTCTATGAGCTAGGGAAATTTTTGAATTGAAATCAACTGTGATGTCTTATTTAATATTTAATACCTGAAATATTCTTCATTATTTCAAATGTAAATATATTTTTAAACCCATGTCAATTTTGTAGATAAAATAGAATTAGTATTAAGTAGTAAGTGTTAACTACAATTTTTATATTTTATATAATTATTTATTTGTAATTAAAAGAAGATAAAGGAATTAATCATTGTTAAAGAGAAATGTATATACAATTATTGAATGAAAAATTCTCATGAACTAATATAATATGAAGATTAAGATATTTCTTTATAGTGATTTGGTTTCTATTAATTAATTTTACCGATTTCGTTATCATATCGAAAATTATAGTTGAAGATAACATAAAATGTACAAAGAATTGTATAATAAATAGTTTTAGTGAATTATTCTATTAAGATAAAAATTCAAATATATTGTTGAATAATGGAAATATATTGTTTTTGCTAGAGATTATTTATTTTCCTGTATTACTTGTGACTGTTCATTATTTTGAGAATACCGCAAAATATAAACTATTTTTTACTAAAATTTTAAAAGATAAAAACTTGCACCCTTAAGAGTCATTGGTATTATGCTGTTTGTTTTTCCTATTATTTTTTTGTTTAGACGGATACTTTTTAAAAAATTTATAATTTTTTCGATGTTGTTTTTGCTGCCTCTCTTTGAGGTTTCCTAATAGCTCCATTATTATATCCATATTTATATAATTGTTATAAATTTATTTATATATAATTAATAAAGTTTATATAATTTGTATAATATGTTGTAAAACTTTGTTTATTTGTAATGATTGAGGAGTAGCCAGAAAAGGAGGCATGACAGAAGTTGCACCACCAAAATTTTTGAGGGAGCACATTTTGATTAGGCAATGAGTTTCATATTTTTGTGGGGTTTCGATTTGGAAGAATCAGAAACCCCATGTGCAACAGTCCACAGCAAGTGTAACTGTATAAGAAATATAATTAATTTTACATTTACTTGCACTATTTTCAAGGAGTTAATAAAATATTTTGTTAGGTGGTTAGGGGTGGTGGTGATCTCTCTTGACCTTGGGAGGGATGGTCACTCGCATAATAATTAATTTAGGAATGATTTTAATTTTAATAAGATTGTTAGAAGAAATTATTAGATTTTGTAATAAAAAAAAATAAAAAATTTATCAGCCTTTTTATTCAGTCTTATCATTACTTTAAAAAAAAGAATACCATTATACAGTTTTAGAATCAAGTGATTGCCTTAGTAGCGTACAATATTGTTATTACATCCATTAATCAAATTAGTTTAAAGTTCTCCTTTAAAAATTGTATTTTTATTTTAGGAGCTGTAGTTTGAGCCTCCTCATTTCCATTTAAAAACAATAATAATGACAGTCATATTATCACATCCTGGACCGCAATTCTCAGTGGTTGGAGCAAGGCATTTATCCATCAGCTGTTCACAAATTGTGTCTGGTTGCATACCTTCATCAAGTCTCACTTTGATAAAATTTGTCACTTCTTCATTTGTTAGACATTCCCATATCCCATCACATGCTATTATTAGAAATTTCCAATCTGTAGAAAGATGTTTTGTTACAACATCTGGAAATGGACTCACTATTTGTTTCTCTGGTGGTTTTAAAGGATCTGCTTTGAATTGAAAATCACCAAAAGCTCTTGATAATGCCAAAGAACCATTAACTCGTTCTTGTTCGACCCATCCTCCTGCTTCTAAAATTCTTGACCTTTCACCTGGAAGAGTAGGTTTATGGTCTTCAGAAAGTGAAACAGTGCCTCCGTTGACATAAGCTACTGCTCTGGAATCTCCAACGTTTGCACAATATAAAGTATTATTTTTAATAACAATCACTATTGCTGTAGATCCTGACATGTCTTCATTTATGTCTTTATTTTTGCTCATTTGATTATCGAGGTCTAAAAACGAAAATTCCAAAGCATTTTTTATCTTACCCGCTTGATATTCTTTGGATTTTACCAGGTATCTATGAAGATTCTTACTTACGAAATCTGCCACCTTTGTTCCACCATGACCATCATACACTCCAAAGAAAGAAGCAACTGGGGCCTCGTCTTCTGGAAGTGTAGGCAGGACTGTGTGAGCATCTTCCATTGAAACACGCCAGCCCTGCATCGAGCTTAAGCCAACTGTGTACTTTGGAGTGTCCATTTTGGAGGTATGTTTCTCTCGAACTGGTTCTGTTAACAGCTGACCCATTTTGCTCAAATCATGTCCTAGAACAATTTTACAAATAAACATAAAATCTTATTTTGTTTGTTCTCTCTACTACTTATTAAGATTTTTAAGTTTTACGGGGGGACAATAATATGATAAACTTTAATAATTATTAAAATTTATTTAAACAGATGCACTCTTAACAGTATTGGTTTATATAATATCCAAAAGTTAATGTGACAAAACAGTTTTTATCAATATATGTTTGACAAATAATGAGAAGATATGGATAGTCATGATATTTCATCAGATCAATAGATATAGATATAATAATAAGCGTGACCCTGAAACATCATTAACAAACAAAACTTAAGTTACTAGAAAAAACATTATATCAAAAGATATTTATTAAAAGTGTATTGTTTCTAAACATACCTGTCAGTACACAAAGGGATAGAACTTGAATAAAAAATGTTTTCTTTTTTAGTGTTAAGTTTTTTCACATAAATGCTCATTGATCTTTTGATTTATTATCTTTTAGTTAATTTTTAATCATAATAAAATTAAAATTTAATTTATCATACAGCTGTTCTTACTTATAACCAACTGATGTTATCATTGCTCCTTATCATAAATTTAATGCAAATATAACTTTTAAACATGTGGTTATGTAGTTTACAAATTATTTGTTAAAAAATTATAGTTTTAATTTTAATATAACTTTGAGTTTGAACAAATAAAATATAATTCTGGTGTTTATACCTAAAACTATTTTATTAAGTCATAAACAAAATCTATAAACCATGGCTTAAATAATTCGACCTACACCAATAATGTCAAAAGTTTGTTTAGCGTTGTAGATAATTTATTTTTATTTTAAGGTATTAAATACAGACATCAAATTTTATTTCTTTTTATCTGACGGTTCAAGTATCTCATAAAAAATTGATTTATGAATTTATTAATGTTTAATAATAATTTAGAAAAATATAATTTTATTATTCTAGATTTAAAAGTTTATTTGATTTGGCTGATCTGATAAATAAATATTCTTTTCATTCTGTTTTTGTGTATTTACCTGCTTTAGATTTTTAATTAGTTGTCATAATCTTGATATGTCTCTTTCAAGTGTTACAACGTAACCATAATTTCAATTTTTAAAAAAATAATTTTTTTAAAATATAGATTATTTTAGAAATAAACTATCAAATATATTCTTCCAATCAATGTAGGTTTTGATTAAAACAAAACACATATTTATCTTGACCCATCTTCAGGTCTATAATTAAAAAAAATATTTTTAATTGACTGGTAATTTTTAAAGCGTTTATCTTTATGAATTTTTAAAGCGTTTATCTTTATGAAGATTGGGTGATCACAGATGTATTTTGTTCAATATGATTATTATCAGATTTATATATGTTACATTATTAATAATAATTAAAATGTTTCTCGCATAAGCAAGATCATCCAAATACTAATTGTTTTGGTATTTCATTATGTACTGTTCACAAGGCATTTTTGTTTTAATTATTTGTGATGTATTATATATTGAAACACATTTACCATAATTATCTGAGATCTTTTGAAAGAAAGTAGAACGAGATGTGATTCACCTGCACCAAGTCACTGATTTATACCGCACATTACCCAACACAATAACCAGTAAATAAACAGTGCTGATTAAAGATGATTACTAATACTCTCATAGTATCCCAAAAAAATATTTAAAAACAGATGGATTTAAAAATGATGAACATTTACTCAATGGAAGTCATATTTGTCACACAAATAAATTTTGTAAAAAGTGTACAAGTTTTAACAAGAAACTTGGACTGAGACAGATAAAAATTCTTTTCTTATTTAAGACAGATTTATAATTATATGACAATTACACTGTAGCCTCTCAACGGGTGAGAGAAAGGAACAGTAGATCAATTGGCTGTTTTTTAAATTTATTTAGATTATAAAATGCTGGACGCTTTTAATATCACTATATTTTGACAATTGCTGACTGTTTTAAAATTACAAGTAAGTAAAATATTTGAGAAATAATTTTGTTAATATTTCAGTAATTTGTAATTAGGGTACATATACTAATAGTTAAAAATACCAGTTGAATTGTTCTTTATTGTTATTAAAAATACTTAACCCTAAAGTTAAAATATTAGTCTCCCAGATTGTTAAAAAATAGGCTGTAGCTCCACTAACTACCTACCATTGACGACCCTAAGCAACTCGAAGCCTTCTTTGAGGGCCAACGATAGAATCCTAGGGCCCTAGTGATAATTTTCCAGCCAAATGTTAAATATACCACTACCACTAAAAACCATAAAAACTGCTTATAATTTGTATACATATATATTTCAGTTGTTATTTTTAGGTTGTTCGATATGTGATTCAATATGATTTAATACTTTTTGAAATATGATTAAACAGCTATTTATTCGATTTATAACTTATTAATAAATTGAAAAAAAATCAATTTTATTTTATTTACTCTTCTCAAACAGTCCCAGTGAATGATAGTATACTATTTAAAGTTAATAAATAAGATTTCTAGATTTCAAAAAATTAATCAGTTTTGGTTTAACTATAACCGTGCCTTTAAAAAATGTAAAATAGTTACACTACAGAGCCTTAAAATATATTAAGTTTTATATTTTATAAATTTATACTTTAAACATGTTTATAGTTAAAAACTATTGGGGATATAAAAAATATTACTCATTTTGAAGCTTACTGGTATTTCTGGCTGAGGCAGCTGAGACACAACATGCACGTTTGCAAACGTTTTTCATTTTTTGAAAATTAATAAAAATGCACCTAATTCAATTTTTATGGGGGAAAAAATCACCTAGTAAAAATTTGAGGATCGAGTGATGTGGTTTTCTTGCTTCTGCCATTAATAAAACAATAATTAAAATTAACAATTAAAATTAAAATGAGTGCCCAACTGACACCACAACAAGGTTAATAGAAATAGCAGAGTCCAAGCCTTAGCCTTTTAATCCTCTATTCATATTGTTTGTTGAATATAAGAGATTACTCTCTATAAAAATAGTAACAGTTTTTAATAATATGAGGAATCAATGGATTGTCTTTCAAATTGTCTAAAGAAATATTCATTATATTATTTTTTGTTTTTTCATAGATGAATTTAGTTGTTACAATAAACAGAAAATATATATTACGGAATAAAATATATAGATTCTTAATCTTTTTAATTTCACATTTCAACCCTAAAAGATTAATAATCCAACAGTATTGAAGAATCATTACCCATTTCAGACATAATTTTCTTGTAGAAAATAAATGTTATACAATAACTAAATACTAAATATTAAAGTATTATAAATTTAAAAATAAGTCCTTAATGAATGAGTATGAATCATTAGACTGTTATTGTTTATGTAGATAGCAAAGACTTTTGAGAGAAAGTTATTAGTTAACTTTTTTTATGTGCCAAACCTAACATTTTATAAATAAACTTATTTTTATTGATGGAAGAGAGAGATTGTACAATATCTTAGTACTATATAATTAAAAAATGATATTTTTAATCTCATTGATTCTATATTTCACTAATATTGTTAGAGGACATCACCAAGTTTGCACACATGCATATATACATAGCTCGCGCAACAAACCGTTAATGGGTCCAGGCCTCCGCCAGTTGGCTCTGTCTGTTGCTGCAGCTCTCCAGTTCCGTGCGTTGAGGAGATAGTATGCGTCAGTTGAGACTGATTCAGCCCACCTCACGTTTAGCCATCTTCAGCCAATGTCCTCTTTGGGATCTCGTCCTCCTTCATCCTTGCCACGTGGCCCACCCATCGGAGTCTTCTAACCTTGATCCACTTGATGATACCGGGGTTTCTGTACAGCCTTGATAGTTGCTGTGTAAATTGCTCTCTGAGCAACTGCTCCTACCGAAAGTGCCAACCAAGGTTATCCCTTGTTCTTACAGAGGAAGCTAAGAGAAGAACACTCTGACGCTGTTGTCTCTTACATGGTAATTCAAATGTCTTATATTGATGGTAGGTGATATAGATGCTATTTCATGTTGGTGTAATATAATTAGGGAACTGCATTGATCCAAATGATGTACATCATATTGGAATAATATGATCAAAAAATATATAAATAATAAATGAATCAAATAACTTAGAAATAATAAAAGCACAGCAGTAATTTCAAGATAATTGTTATAAACTCATGGGAATGTTCTTTCAGACAGATGCTTGAAGCATTATCAGATATTGTGCCTCACTTTTTAATCAGAGTAGAACTAGTATTTATTTACTTCATGGATTTTCCCCATATTCCTCTTTAAAAAACATGTTGGTCACTTTAATGATTTTTTTTCTTTAAAAATATTTTCATTTTTCTTATATGCTTTTTACCAAAGCTGTCATAATATTGTGTAAATTTTTTTACATGATTCACCTTATTGCAGGTCACCCCAATAATTCCACTAGACATTGAAAAGTTTATATACTACCTACTATCCAATTTGTTCTATTTAATAACATTATAAAATCAAAGTTGGTGAAAATCAATACTTTGAAATAAATTGTTGATAATTCACTTTGGATAAGGTAGGTGGCTATAAAATGTAAACTATTTCCATAGTGAGCAGGTTCTTCACTATTTTTTATCTTTCTGATCCAAGATGAGTAATTCCCATCTAAAATTCAAAGCAGCTATTAAATTATAAGACATTTTATAAAAGTTTCTTTCCCCTTTCTATTCAATTCAATCTTTAAAAATCTTCTTTTCCAGTAAAAGTTATCTATAAATTTCTATCCTATCTAAAGAATTTATTTAATTAATTATCACTTAATTAATATCAGTATATATGTCTTATTTAAAAGAAAAATGTTTTGCTGCAAGTAAATGAGGAAATTTAAGCAGTATTTTATTGTTTTAAGTTATTTTTATTTTGTACACTATTAATCAAATTACTTGCATCAAGTGTCAATCGGAAGACCTTAATACTCTGAAATTATTTAACATTTGGTGATGTCTATAAAATTGCCTGCTATAGAGAAGTTTCACAGCATATTATGGTCCCTAACCCTCCTCTCACAATATTTGAGAAAGTGCAACGCAACAGTGCAACGGTCATATTCTGTTATATAGTGTAGAACAGTTCCTGTTAATAGTGTAGAGCAGTTTCTGTTAATAGTGTAGAGCAGTTTCTGTTAATAGTGTAGAGCAGTTTCTGTTAATAGTGTAGAACAGTTTCTGTTATATAGTGTAGAACAGTTTCTGTTAATAGTGTAGAGCAGTTTCTGTTATATAGTGTAGAGCAGTTTCTGTTATATAGTGTAGAGCAGTTTCTGTTAATAGTGTAGAGCAGTTTCTGTTAATAGTGTAGAGCAGTTTCTGTTATATAGTGTAGAGCAGTTTCTGCTATATAGTGTAAAGCAGTTTCTGTTAATAGTGTAGAGAGTTTCTGTTAATAGTGTAGGCCAGTTTATGATACACAGGGTACTTCAGAGTTAAGTGGCCAAACTGCAAAAATGAACTAAAGACCTCAAAACAAGAAAAAATTTCCTCTGAAGATATGTTGGCAAACGCTTTGTTAGGAGATATTCACACCTAAAGATTTTATTGTTATGAATTATTTATGTTATATGAAATAAATAAAACCTATTTATTTGTTCTAACTACTTTATTAATTAAACATAAACATTAACATTCATATTAAATATTGTTTAGAGTGATTTCCTAGAACATTAAGAAAGGCTCTACATCTTTCTTCAACAGCAGCCGTGGCAGAATGGCAATGGATTTGTGTTATTGTTTCACAAGATTCTATTATTCTTCCTCGTAAAGAATTAAGGTCATTGGCCGGACTTGCATATATTTTTTGATTAATGTCACCCCAAACAAAAAAATCTAGTTGTGTCAGGCCTGAAGAGCGTGCCAAACCACTGGCCCTGCACATCCAATCCGTTGATTGGGATATGGGATATGATTGACCTTAATTCCTTACAAGGAAGGATAATTGAATCTTGTGAAACAATAACATATATCAAGTGCCGTTCTGCCGCTGCTGCTGTTGAAGAAAGATGTCGAACCTGTCTTAATGCTCAAGAAAATCACTTAGAACAACATTTAATATGAGAAGAAGTTAGTCGGGAGGTTCGGTCATATAAATACTAAATTTTTAAAAAATACTATTTTTAATTGTTTTGCCTCACCTTGCAGGTCTTCATCAGGGCTACAAAAGATACAAAATATAAAAGGTACATGGTGAAAATAAAATATTTTTTAGCCCTGATGAAGACCTGCAAGGTGGGTCAAAACATCAGCATAACAATTAGTATTTATCTGACCGCACCCTCTTATGCTTATCTGTACGGCAGAGTTAATCAATTATCCTGCAAATCTATAGGCGTTTGTTAACTGTGTAGTGACCTATAATTAATGCAATAATTAATCTGACTTAACCCTTGTTTAAATCTAGCAGCGACTTAGTTCTAGAAGAAATAAATGTGAAATTCACGATAAATTTATCTAAACTTAAGCTTTATTAGAGATAATAATATTTATTACAATCTTTTAACATAGGAATTCTAATACCGTTCAGATATTAGCGAGTTGCTCATCAAATAACAGGAGACATGTCACAACATCCTGCAGTTGAGTTTTGTAATGTGAATTTTCATTCATTGTTATTGTTGTTTTTTTCCTAACTTGAAGTGCAGCTTTTTCCCAGAAACCATTTCCAACCAGTTAAAAAAAAAAATACTTTCCATGATTTTAAAACGTATAACTGTATTTTTATTTATATTTCATCAGAGGATAAATTATTACTTTCCTATCTATACTAGGTAAGGAAAGTATTGCAATCAGGTCAAAGTTCCGACATGCGGTTTTCGACGGATCTATACGTTTCACAGCCCCCTGAGTCCGAAAAACACATTTTTAGCCATTGGTCTGTCTGTGCCAAGATTTTCTCGGGAACTACTGAACGGATTTTGTTGCTTCTTTTTTTATTTTGTACGGTTTTGACTACTGATGGCTGTGACAGAAATTCGGTGCTCCATGAGCAATAGCTTGCGCGCAATAAATGAAAAACATGTTTTTCTATAGACTGTAGCGCAAAAACGGCTCTAACGATTTTGATGAAACTTTCCTATAATGTTCTAATCATTGTTCTTTCAATTTTCGTATATAGACTAAATTCCCCAAAAAATTCAGGAAAAAAAGTTATAAAGAAAAGAAAAGTGTTACAGGGCCTAACTCCCTAAGTATATATTATATGGTAAAATATATAATAAAAATTTTGAAAGGTAATTAAATTACCAACAAAACAAAAAAAAAATCATCGGAATCGAACCAGTATTAGCGATGATACAGCTTATTCTATTTTTTATGCATTTTTTAAACTTATTTTATTACTTTCCTACCTACATACCATTTTGCATGTCGTTTGAAAGGTAATGAAATTCCCTACAAAGCCATATAAAAATCGTTCATTTTGGACAACTATTAACGAAGTTACAGCTATTCAATTTCCAATGTAAGATTACGGTTTCATATCCTGGTGTCAGAAAGGGGTGGGCCCCATCACACAATCTTCACTCCTCTACTTTTAACAGAAATTATTGTTTGACAATACTAAGCTATGGAAAACAGTTTTTGATTAGCAATATTAGTGAGTATTGAAATTTTTACACTGATCTACCTTAAACCGGTTTACATTGCTTTAGTTTATCAAATAAATCGTACTCAAATCTTATGTTTGATCAATTTTCAGGAAAATGTATATAGTTCAATTCTTTTTTGTTTCTTCATGAACATATGTAAAGATATAAAAACTTTTTGAAATAGGTAGGGAAGTCGTGTGAGTGGACACACCAGATTTTTTTTTCATTCTTATCAGGTCTGATTAACAATAGGTTTGTATGCATCCACTTATTCATGTTCATTAGCGATTGTTCAATGTCATATTTTCAAGAGCTAAAATAAATCAATTGTGTTAGATTAGTAGAGAATTCTAGATTTAAAGGATAATCTGGTTTGATCTTTAAGGATGAGGCCTAGTTCTTCATTGAAAGAAATTTAAATTTCAAAATTCTGGAATATTGGTAGTTAAAATTTGTCAAGCAATAATCAGACCCAATCAGTCCTTATCCAGTTCCACCACCTGCTAACGATCCTTCCTCTCCCCGACGAAGGCCTTCACCAATATCTTTAAATAGTTTGGCTGCGTAACTATTGCTTTATCAGCCAAGAGTGACCAAAATCACATATATCTAAAACATTCGATGGGTGGGATATACTTATGGTAATAAATTGTTTTAAATAAATATGTTGTAACATCTATAATTTTTACTTTGCTTGTCAATACTCACGTATACATGTTTTCATAAACACCATTTATCACACCAAGTGAAAGCTGTGTGATCTTTTTTTTTTTTTTTTTTTTTTTGTCCTCCCCTTCCTCGCCTCTAAGGCTATACGGTGGTTTTCCCGGGCCAGGGAGTGTGGGCGGGGATTTAAAAGACTTCTCCGGGCACCGGGACGCGAACTTGTGACAATTTTTTTTATCAAAGTGTTATGTATCAGGTTGCCGGGCAACGGCGGTGCAGTGCACACGCGTTTACAGTGGCTTAATAATATTAATAATTATTATTATTATTATTATTATTAAGCCACTGTACACGCGTTAGCCCATTCGGCCATCCCGCCCACTGATGAGCTGTGTGATCTGCACACTACATCAGAGTTTTTATCCTTGTCATACTTAAAAATACTCGAATGATTTCTTAAATCAAAATATCAATGTTTATCTGCCCTACCATTTTGATAACCAATTTTTTTTTCTTCAAGTTATTCATAATTAAATTGCCATAATCATTACCACAATTGCTTCTTAAATAAGTTCTAATCTAAATCCAATAGCTTTGTGAAACTTTTTTTCTTATTTAATTTCTAGCTAATGTTATGAAGGTAAACTAAGGACCCTTTTTTTAAGATAATTGTATAGTTGTATGAAAAATCAGCCTACGATAGTGTTGATCACGAAGAGTTTTATAAAGCACTCAAAATCTCTAATAAGTTCACACGCATGATTAAATTAACTATTAGAGATAGATGTATGATTCTGATGACGGGAGAACATTTGCTGTAGGAAAAAGGTGATGCAATGGCCTATGTTTAACTTATCTATGGAACATGCAGGTGGACAAGCAAAAATACAGATCGGCGGAACAATATTTAATAAATATACTCAGTTCCTAGATTGATCGGACCAGCAAACAGAATTTGCTTACAAGTTAACAAAGAGAAGATCAATTACCGTCCGACAGAAGACAATGTGAAATTCGGTCCATAAATGTTGAGGAAGTGGCAGTACTTATTTACAGGGAGGCGACCAAACAGTTAAAGTAAAATTCTTTGACATTTCCCTATTTAATGGTCGTTTTCCTAGACCAATATATCTGGGGACACAAATATTAAAAATGTATAATTTATAACTAAATTTATTTATTATACCTGAAAGAAAATTTGACTAAAACAAAAATAAATGTCTTTGAAATAACAGATATAATGTTTTAAAGGAAGCATTTTTTAAGCTTGAAGAGGATTTTTTATTTTAGAAAACTAAACTTTTAGTAGTTTATTTTTATCTCTTTTATTTTATTTTCATAAACTGAGAGTACGTAAAAGTTGATACTTGACCTATAAAGCTCTGATTTTCTATATTGTAAAATTAAGTGAGCTACGGGGATTCGAATATTAGTGTAGTTTCTCATAAGCAATTTAGTTTCTTTATTACTATAAACAGCATAATAATTATCCATATGACATCAACTGTACAATATCTGCTAAATAAATGCTCTTTTAAGGAGCACCACAGATCGAAAGAATGAGTGCCTGCCACCCAGACGTATATATTACTAATAGTATTGGTATGTTTTCTTTTCATAAAAACACCGTTTTAAGTCCATTTTGCAATCAAGGTAAACAATAAACGATATCCACTGTATATTTATTTCGAATTTGAACAAATATTTATTCTGACTTTCCCCATTTTTCCAGGAAGGTCTTCACCCTGTACTTAGGTTTATTAGTGCCAAGCAATAATAATATGGCATCATTTACTATAAGAGAATCATTTATCTAAACAAATCATGATCCAGCTCTATGACACTTTGACACGGCCAGTTCACCAAATTGGTCGTGAGACATGGACACTCACTCAAAATTATGAGGGCAATCTTCTGATATTTGAAAGGAACATCCTTCGAAGAATATATGAGAGGAGTTAAAGTTGAAGAGCTGGGAAATGAAGATGATGCTCCAACCGGGAATTATATGCAATGTTCCTCCCCCCTCCCCCCCCAAACCCAATTGATCAAATGGAGCAGGCTAAGATGGAAAGGACATTTGTCAAGGATGGATGAGAAGGAAGTACCAACAAAACTTCTTTATCAACCACTGTGTGGCGCAAGGAGAGGAAGGCCTGGATCATGGTGCTACAGGTGGTCAGGACTCAAGACTGTGGTGTAGAGCAAAAATGATTATATTTAAAAAAATCTGGTGACGCATCACACGATTTCTACATACCATCCTCTTAGATTCTGCTAGAATAGAAGTAGAAATACTCATTTCTATAAGTATTTTCAGACAAAGAGGAGGTGAAAGTAAAAATTATAGAAGCTATATATATTTTCATTTCATTGTGGATATTTTTATTTGTTTAAATACCCTTATATAGAAAATTTTTAATGTTTATATTGCTGTATTCTATAAAATTAAATATTAAATAATACCAACGTATTATATTAAACTCATGTTTCGTATGGAAGTCGGTTGTATATTACAACTATTAGAACTATTATTACACTGATATACTGGGTTTAACCAAAATCGTTAAGAACCATTTTCGAGAAAATCGTAAAAATATGTTAAATGGATTATATTAAGTACCACTTCCGAAAATGTTGCTGTAACATCCAAGATTTATACAATTTCAAATATATTTGCTCAAATTTACAATTTCAGTTTCGAACGAATTTTTGTTTTTCAGCTAGGCTGCTCACATGCATACACACACACATCATTTTGCGGGACTTGGTTATTTGGACAAAGGGGACCTCAAAACATGTATTTCTGTTGAAAACTCAGATTTGATAATGTTCACGATTGAAAGTAAAAAGTATGTTAATAATTAAAATATACCTCTAATTAACTGACAATGAGTATAATTCGTACATGCAGTTGCTAAATATGTTGAGAGCCATCAACTCGGTTTTCGATCCCTCCTAGTTTTTCCACTGATCTACGTAAGAATCTCATTTCTGCTGTGCTGTTACAAGACTAATACCTGTCCAATATAGTCCAGCTTTCTCTGTTGTTGGTGAGAACAGTAAACAGACTTATGTAGATACATCCTGGTCTTTCTATCTACTTCACAGTGCCGGAGGTTACTGTTAGTGATCTGATGGTATGTCTGATTTGCTTTGGATATTCTGTTTGAAACCTCAGCATCTATCTCACCAGAGTTACTAATTACAGTTCCTAAGAAGGTGTATATGAGAGAAAGAAAACTTTTTGTTTTCAAAATAGTTATCCAGATAGGAGAACCGAATACTCCACTTAAATATATTTGAAACTGGACAATGTTCTGTTGCATTGTCCTGAATTTGCAGCTTTTAGAAATAAATATTGTTTGTTTGTTTAGGCTTTAAGGCGTAAAACCCTAGGGTCATCAACGTCTAGAAATAAATATTTAAGTGTATTGATAATAATTCAAAAGATTACATTAAGTCAAAAGAGCACAATTATTACAAATAAAAAATTAGTGATTTATACTGGTATGTAGAAGCCTATTTAAAATTGAGAATTTTATTTATGCTTGACCATGAGTAAATTGGTTTTTATCAAGTTTAAGGTTGTACGCAAATGTCTAAAAAAAAAAATTAAGGTATAATACTCATTCATATGTATCTGTCTATACATTTATAATCAACTCCGTTTTAAAGGACTCACCCGAAAACAAATAAAATTTAATTATTATGGAAACTTATCTCATCAAAGCTTGGTATTTGGGACCATAAATATTCAACTTAATCCGAAATGTGTCTGGTTTGAATAAATCTTAAATAGCAGATTTTTTTAACCTTGTTTTATCCATTTGGCTATAAAATTTTTTCGAGAATGTAACATGATCTTTTCGCAATAAACCAAAATAATTGAGAGTTAGTAGTGAATGGAATTCAATTAAATTGATCCAGCATAATTTTTGCACTATCGACACCTTTTCACTAACTTAAGAGCCAAATAAATAGAGTTTTTAAAATATTAATATGACTAAAACAAATAAATTTACATGTGCCTAAGTGAAGGTAGAGCATGGAATTTGATAAACTTGCCATAAGATCATCTAGACATTAATCTGCAAATTCATTAAAAATTGGATTAACGATGGTCGAACTGTCTCCTCCTAACCTCCTCCCCCATCCATCATCATCATTACATAGATTAGATAACAGGCTCGGACCAAATTTGTTTCATGATATCTAAAACGTAAAACATGAGCAGAAAATTTCGATCCTGAGCACTTCTTTGGCCTTCCGCAAGAATACAAAGGTTCTTTAACTACAACAGTGAAGAAGAAATAAAAGTAAAATAAAAAGGATAACAAAAAGATAAATACATATATATATATATTTTTATTCCTTGTCAATTTAAAAGTAATGAAAATTATAACAAAAATAGCAGATGATCTACTTCAGCTTCTTCTTGGGGCGGATATTGTTGGTATGCCCACATTTCTTCTTGCGGCAGTTAGTTGCCCTCGGGTGAAGCCTAGCGTAGCACTTGCGGCAAATCATCTTGTCACAATTGTATTTCTGTGCAAGAATTTTAAGAGTTGGTTCAATGACACCACCCCTCAGACGAAGGACCAAATGAAGAGTAGATTCTGTGGGAGAAAAAACACAACAGATTAGATATTAAATAACTAATGAAACAGTTACAATAACATGGCTCATGTGTCATTATTAATTAATTATTACACATAACAACTCGTGGCTTTTAAGTAAATAACTGCTTCAGAAAGACCAATCTAAATAATCATCAAAAATTTTAATCAGAATAGTTTTCATCATAAGCAGTAAAAAAATGTAAAATAGGGATTATAAAACACTATTAAAGCTTCAAGTTGATGAAATATGAAGGGGAGAAGAGGAAGCTAGCATAATTGATTATTAGTTAAAATATGATTTATTTTTGTATACTTCCAATTCCAATGACTGCAATCCTTAAATTATCTTATCAGTTAAGAGGCATGTGAATGAGGTGGTTGTCTAGGGAGATGATTGGGCCGGTATCAAGCTCAACCGCCATGTTTTTTCAATTATTTGAATTAAGAGTAACTACTTTATAGAGGCTGGGTTCGCCAAAGGGTCGATACACAGCTAGTGAAAAATTACTAGTCATCAGGCGGATTCAAAACGGGACCTTGAGCTATAGGAATTAGTGCTCACCCATTGAGCTACCCAGCCCGCTCCCTAGCTGCATGTATACTTCGTAATATTTTATATACTTGCTGCTAAATATAAATAATATATATATATTTTTTTTTTATTGATGATATTTACAACTGTATTACAAGTAAAAATACATTCAGTAAATGTGAACAAAGGAATAAAATAGCATGAAATCACTTGTTGAGAAACTACCCATTGGTAGCACTCTAAAAAAAATGTATTTACAAAAGGAGAACTCGAGGCCATCTTCTTTTCAGACGCCTCAGAGGGTTGTCAGGGATTGAAGAGGAAGCAAGGTTAGAAACGAGAGAGTTTGGATGGTTCTGAAGTAGGAAGGATAGGTATCTGGATTGGGCCAGGTCAGAAACATAAGGAGCATTAAGGTCATTATAGATGATTTTGTTTGTGACAAAGTAAGGAGCAGTGAGCATTTTATGAAGGATTTTGGATTGTAAGGATTGGATACGAGAGGAATTCGATGGCTTAGTGGAGCCCCAGAGCTCAACTCCGTAAGTCCAAATAGGTCTTATTGTAGTCATGTATATGAGTCTTTTGTAATTGACTGAGAGGTTAGAGCGTTAATCAAGTAAGTGCTGGAGTAGTCTGAAACGTCGAATGTTTCTTGTCGTTTCAGTCTGGTATGAGGATTCCAAGTTAGACGTTTGTCTAAGTGGGGTATTATTAAAAGATACTGTAGGACAAGAGGACATAGGTTTACGACGAAGGGTAGAGGTGATTTGATGGGATTTATTGGAATTTATTTTTATCCTCCAGTTTTGACACTGATAAATAATATTAAAATATTTAAAACAGAATTCTCAATTGTCAAGAAATATTATAATAAAAGGATGAAAAATAGTTAGCATGTGCATCCAAAAAGTATTACTGAGTTTGCTAACAGTTTAAACTAAACACTTGAGTCTTTATCAGAGCTAAAATTAAAATTGAATTCCCCCTTACTAAATTTTTTTTTTTTTTGGATGATAATCAGGCCGCAGTCAATTTTTAAGATATTTAACAGTTTCAACCAAAGCTAAAAATACTATACTATCACCCTTGATATGTAGAAGTCTAGTAGTTAGTTCCTTCCTTCAATAATTCAAATTTGATTTTGTTAATTAACACCATGGAAGTCCAGATATTTATATGTGACCTACTACTTAATTAATATTATATTCTTCAAAGTGAACAATCAATTATCAAAATAACTCAAGGGCAGCTTCAGAAAGACCAATCGTAATAATATATCATCACATTTTATCAGAGGAGTTTTCATCATAAGCCACCTAGCTAGTCAATTTCCTGGATCATAGAGCAAATAGTTTGATATTCTAGCAGGTAAGTGGAATATTTAATTTGAATAAATATTTTTATCGAGTATATATATATATATATATATATATATATATATAAAATAGTATTCTGCATTATAAATTTTTGAAACATATCATATACTAGCTATGTCCATTCATATAGGATTCATCCACTTTAAATTTGGATTGCACTTTTCTATTTAAGATGAATGATTAGTACATGGCCAAATTCATCTTGAGGACCTGAATGACATCTGAAATTAAAGTTTAAAGGCTAATTACTAAAAATTGTCTTTCTTCTAGTTTCTGATGCCAAGAATTTATAAAAATATAAACTGCAAGTTGAACCGAACCACCACCAATAAAAAAAAGCATTAAGTATTCATGGTAATAGTATCAATGACAAATATGGAATATTAATGAGTGCAATCCATTAATTATTCTGTATAAAATCACAGTAATCCATGTAAAACAAATAGATTTGGTCTTGCGTTTGGTATTCATAGAGTAGATAATACAATTATTAAGATCACAAATCAAAAGATCTCATCTTAATTAAATTTCCTTAATTTAAATGTAAATAATAACAGAAAATTTAATGTACTTGTAAATTAGAATTATTTTCTGTGGTTCTAAAGGTACTATTTCGCTGGCGTGGTCCACGACCGCGACTGCTCGAGGTTGACCACTGCTTTAGTGGAATAGAAAGGAACCTATTTCACTGCTCGGCAGTCTAGGTATGACGTCATATCTAAGCTGCTCGTATCGGACTCCTCTTGAAGCAGTGGAGCTGTTGGCGGTTCGGCGGTTGTAGGTTATGTTATCATATCAGAGCATTGTTTTGATAATAACAGTCACTTCGATACATTTTATTTCCTATGTTTCTGTCAAGTCTGGCAAAATTATAACAAATATTGTTTAAAACTTAAACAATGCAATAGTAAATTATTTTTTTAAGGTTGAAGTAACAAGATTATTCATTTATTTATTCCACCAGCAATATTTTACAGCGAAATACAAACGATATTAAATAAATTAAAGAATCCAACAAATTTTATCGTCAGGTAAATACTAAAACCCACCCATTGAAAAATCAATTTGTATTTTTTAATTAAAGTAGTGATTTACTGATTACTATTGATAAAACTATAAAACATCGCCTGTTGGGATTTAATTACAAATATATGATATTTATTAATAATCAATTATGTATTAATTACTATACCTTTTCAAACAAATAATATCTAATATCAGAGGGACTTTGATGATGAGCATCACATCGCAATACTGATATTCCTTCTCTTTATGAACATTTTCTCTTCTTTTTCCAACTCAAATAAAAAAGCGGTAGTCAGAGATGTCCATAATTGTAGGATGTTCATTTTTATTATTATATTATGTCCATTTTTTTATCTTCGAAGATACAGCGAAATGTTCGAAGGTTATAGGCAGGTTAAAACAACCCCAGTGAGCAGTTTCAGCGAAATAGCTACGCCAACAGCGGTTGGCAGCGTGGAATAGTGGTCGCTCTCATGGACCACGCCAGCGAAATAGTACCTTAACATGTACATAAATACGGTAGATACATGAAAAATCTAAGAATCATACAAATAACCTTTATAGAATAATTAGACATGCGATTTACCTTATCTTTAGTTACTTCAATTTTTTATTTATAAAGAAAAATGGATGATCAATTCCATTAAATAAAGAATATCAATAGATAATTATTGGGCTTAAGGACATGATCAAATTGAAACTTAAAGGAAAAAGAAAAATTATATAAAGAAGCTTCTGATTAAATACAACTTTGCAACTTCAGAAAGACCAATCATAATAATATTAATCATCACATAATATCAGAAATCTTATCATCACAAGTTACAAGGTTATGTACATAATATAACGCCTAATACTTTGACATATGAAACACTGGATACAAATCAAGAAGTATCAGGAACATATTATAAGTGCCTTAAATTGAAAATCTACCACTCCCTAAACAATAAACAACTATTAGACAAATTATAAAAACATAAAAACTCTTGCCTTTTTGAATGTTGTAATCAGACAAAGTTCTTCCATCTTCCAATTGTTTACCAGCAAAAATAAGCCTCTGCTGATCTGGAGGAATTCCCTCTTTGTCTTGAATCTTAGCTTTCACATTTTCAATAGTATCAGAAGGTTCAACCTCTAGGGTAATGGTTTTACCCGTGAGGGTCTTAACGAAGATCTGCATTCTTAAGATCCTGAAACAAAGATTCATAATTTGAATAATTCATCTAATAAATTATTATATTATGTAAAAAAAAAACAAGTAAGAAAATGATACTTTCAATAGATCCTGGGCAAACAAAATAAACTTGCCATGACAACATGGAAATGAATGTCTTTATCATTATTCTAAACAAATAAAGAACAATAATAACAACACTTGAAAAAATAGCTTTAGTTTCTTAAGTTATACAATCCATTGATCGATAAACACTATTTTATAGAAGTAAACCGAAATTTATGAAAACGCTTATTGCACTCAAATGTTCGATCTGTATAAGTTAACTTGAGGATTGATTACAGTTAGTTTAATACTATGTTTGTAAATACCTTAGCTCAAAGAAAAATAAATTAACTAATATTAGATAGGGAATTGCAAGCTGTTTAACCTCGTGTTCATGCTAACTATCGCACAAACTTAACAATTAAATGACATGAAATGTAATATTTACATACTATCAATACATAGTTATACTACATGTTAAAATAACAGAAATAAAGCGGAGAGGAAAATTAGAATCACAGAAATTTAAACGTAACTGTTGACTTACTTCGATCAGCCCGAGAAGTTCCTATGAAGAAATCACAAGATGGCTGACGGCATGAGAAGAGTAGCGAATACCAACCTTGTAAAAACAAGCAGATTAACATACATTTAGAATAGATTATTCTCCTCAGTTCAAAGACAAGTAGAATATGTTGAAACTAAAGTAAGATTTTTTAAAAATATATAGAAAAGAACTTTAAATTTTAAATCGACAAAGTCAATACTGCGAAATGTGAGGGAGGGGGGGAATTAATAATCATCTATCAGCCATGGAAATTCCAAATTTATAAAGGTGTGTTTAGACATTTCACAAATTATGGAAAACACAATTATCTAACTTGACTAACAGCGACATAATTGCTAAACCTAACTATTTATTTTATTTCTCTTGATACCGACAGCAGACTGAAAATTTCAAAAGCAAAAATACTAGCATAATGAAATAACCATTTATGTATTTCTTTTTCACCACAATCCATTGCCCGGGGATTTTACTAGTTATTTTATTATCATCTTCTCTTGCCTCTCGGCAATAAAGATTTTTGAAAAAAGCAGCACAATATTTCTACCACTTGTTCTGTTTCTTCACTCTTTACTCTTCTATATTAGTGGAGATTGAGGTACTTCTATAATAGCAGGTAGCATCAAAACCTCCCTTCTTATCTAATCTTTTTCACGTAACCTCCCTTATCTCCTCTATCCTGAGTTATTCCCTTGTTTATTTTTTGTTCCTTGTGAAAGCTGTGAGTGAGTCTTATTTAATTATGGATGTTGTCACATTGTGGGAATTGCCGTCTTCAAAAGAAGAGGCTATTAAACATTTTCAAGACGCCGAGATATTTGCAAAGGTGAAATATTGTGATTACGGTCATCAAATGAAGTTCGACGGGAAGATTAAATGGATATGCTTTCATAGTTGTAATAAAACCGTTTCTATAAGCGGTATAAGGAAAAGAACGTGGTTAGAGGGGTCAAGGATTTCTTTTTCTTTAAACACAGTTTATCACGCCTCGATCCTTCAACTTTAGAAACATCCCAATTTTTACAATTACTTCCAATTAACTAATTTTTATTGGAATTTAAACATCGAAATAGAGATTTCTAAATAGAGTACGAAATTCACTTTCCTTTTATACCTCATTTTTTCCAAATCCATCACTCCTAGAAGGGATCTATACTACATAAATAGGCCGTTTCAGACTGTTTTCGTATGCGCAGTAAAGGTCTTTTAGCCTTGTCAAGTCAAAGGCCAACACATTCAATAAATATGTCTTTATTGACTGAGAGCGGACACATCAGGTTCTTGCTTAACTCATAATATCCCACAATTTTTAATTTTATGGGTCTTTGGTACACGGCTCCAACCATAACGTCCAACAGAAAGCAAAACGAAGGTATCTTTTAAGAGCTTACAAGTAAAAAAACTTGCCTTGAATTCTTTCAGCGTTTCAAAATGAGATAATGAACTGTAGCTAATGACTAAGCGTAAAAATATATTTATTTATTTTCTACTAACTGTAGCTGTTGGACACCCTTATGTGTGTTCCTACCTAATTTCTGAATGATCTTACACCTTATATATTCAAACATAGTTATAAAATATTACTTACCTCTAGTTATAAAATCATATCATTTATTTAAAATATAGAAATTACACGTTAGCTGTGGTTAAGGTCTCCGGCGTCTATGAGAAACAATGATTATTTACGTTTATATCTATCTTCACATCTATCCAACTCCCATTCAAATATTTTTAAAAATGACCATTTTGGATACTTCGTAAGATATGGAAAATTCGAAACAACTTCGGCCGAAATCGAGGCGAATATAGGAACCCAGGGACCGTAATCGCAGCTAACGTGTTCATTAGCTTAGCTTATACTTCATATGAAAGTTACTTTTAAAGGGATTCCTGCTAAAGAATAATTTTATCAAACTAATATTTTCTTCTATAAAACCTTCTATTGAATCTCTTCTAACTGAACTTAAATCCCTTTTATCCCCTATTCTAGAACTTCTAACTAAACCAGTTTCTACTTTCATTTCAAATCCTTCCAATGACTAATTCCAAATCACCTCCTCTTAGAATACTCCTATGGAACTTCAATGGCCTACTCCAACGGAAAAATGAACTGGAAATTTGTTTAAAAGAACATGACATAAACATAGCCCTGATTACTGAAACTCATTTAACAGACAAACAACCATTAAAGCTAAAAGATTACGAAACTTACAGAACTGACCATCCAGACCAGACAGCACATGGAGGAACTGCAATTATTGTGGACAAATCCTTAAATCACCTTATTCTTCCTGCTGTTTTTACGAATTCCCAACAATGCACCAATATTTCCCTGAACTCCTCAAAATTCCAAATCACGATCGCCTCAGTCTATGCAGCTCCCAATAAAGTTGTATCCACGAATGAATTAAAGACTATTTTCTCAATAATGGGAAAATCATTCATTGTAGGAGGAGATTTTAACACTAAAAACAAAAGGTGGTGCTCTAGATTGTCCAATACTCGTGGAAAAAGACTACAAAAATGTATTGAAGATTTGAAATTTTCTGTAATCTCACCATCTCAACCTGCTTACTGGCTACTTCACTATCAAAGTCTCCCGATCTTGTTGATTTCTTTGTCACTAGCTCCTTACCACATGCACGTTCCAACGTTTCCTTTCTCCTTGACCTTTCATCTGATCATAGCCCAATTTTACTTGAACTTTCGAACAACCCTTTCGTTAAACTTAAACTCCCGACATTTATTAACGGTTACATAAACTGAGACGACTTTAAACAACAAAATTACATTAAAAACATTCATTAGTACAGCTGACGACCTCGACAATGCAGTCAACGACCTAACAAAAAGTATACAAGAGGGTATTTGGCATTCCAAGAGACCATGAAAGACATACCCTAAACCAGCTTCTTACCTACCTCAGCCAATACATAATCTTATAAAAGAAACACGTAGGATTAGAGCCCTATGTCAAAGAACTATAGATCCAAAGAACTATATAGACACAACAAACAATAGAAATGGATCAATATGGACAACAACAAGAAGTATACTAAAGAAAAAGACCTTCAATACCCTCTCCGACGTACAGACAACACCTGGGCAATAACAAGTGAAGAAAAAGCCAATGAATTCACTAAATATCTTGCACAAGTATTTGGGACGAACACAAAACAGGACAATAATCTTACTAACACAATAGCAGAAGAATTGACAACACCACTACCCCCAAAGGCATTTCATACAACAGAAATTTACAAAGAAATCAACAGACTACCAAACAAAACAGGTCCTGGCCATGATCTAATCACTCCCTTTATTCTTTTGACACCTACCTCGAAAAGCTGTTTTCTTTCTTACACACATCTATAACTACATTTTACACACTACCTATTTTCCTCTCCTTTGGAAACTCTCCACAATTAAAATGATTCCTAAACCTTCAAAATCTACCACTACTCCTTCATCCTATAGCACTTCTTCCAATAATGGGAAAAACATTTGAAAACTACTCCTGAACCTTCTAAAGTCTATTATGGAAAGTAGTGAAGTGATACCAAATCACCAGTTTGGCTTTCCTTGTTATCACTCTACTGTGCAACAGTTCCATAAGATAGTAGATGCTATCTCTGTTACTTCTAAGAAAAAGGAATATTGCTCTGCAGTCTTTCTCCACATAGAGAAAGCATTTGATAGTGTCTGGCAGAAGGGCCTATTATGGAAACTAAAACCGCACTTACCTTCCACTCATTTTTTAATTCTTCTTAATAGATTTTTCTGTACTTACATAGATTCTTCTGTTTCTTCCTTCTTTCCCCAACACATTGGCCTACCACAAGGTAGCGTCTTAAGCCCAATCCTCTATTGTACATACACTTCTGATATCCCTGAGCACCCTAATACCACCATTTATTGCTTCGCTGACGACACCGCTGTTCTATCTTCACACAAAAATCCTACTATCGCATCAATTGCCCTTCGAAACCATCTCCATGATCTTGAAAGGTGGTTTGAAAAATGGAAAATCAAAATAAATAATAATAAATCCACCCACGTTAGTTTCTCTCTTAGGAAAGCCTCATGTCTACCCATAATGATTGCCAATAACCCAGTGCCTTCAAAGAACTATGTATGGTACCTTGGACTCTACTTAGACAGCAGACTTACTTGGAACATACATACAAAATTAAAAAGACAAGAACTTACTAGACGATATAGCCAACTTTCACATCTTCTGGACTAAAGATCTTCACTTAACTTACGAAACAGGCGACTGATCTACAACACCTTACTGAGACCAATGTGGACATATGGAGCAGAATTTTGGGGTTTGGCAAAACAAACACACATAAACAAAATACAAACAGCACAATCGAAAATTTTACGAAAAATTTTTAAGGCACCTTGGTACATTTCAAATAATACTATACATAACGACTTAAACACCCCAACAGTAAAATCCTACATTCATGACAAATACACTACATTTCATTCTTCAACCCAAAATCACTCCAATCCTCTGGTTCTTTCTATCTCCTGCTCCCTGAACAATGCAGATTAAGAATAAAATGGCCAAGAGACCTACTATATCGATAAAAACAAAATCAAGAAAATACACCAAGACAGTATAAATACAACAAAGTTGCTAGATGCGCAGGTGCGAATTGCATAGAATATAAATTTTAAAAAATAAATAAAAATCTCCATTTATTATTAATATATTAAAAATTAAATTGAAATTTATTTCATATTCTATATGAATACATCTTGTGTACACTGAGGGAAATTGGTTCAGGTTGACTTTGAAATCTGTCTAACCCTTCTCAATGGCACTAAAAATCCTGTCTTTAATCTCCATCCAAAAATCAACCAGACCTGAACCTCAAGTTGGACCTCACCAAAATCAAATAGGAGGACCACCCAACATATCTTGGAATAGTTCAAGACCCATGGAAGCCTGGAACAAATAGAATCATCCATAATAAAAGCCACAAAGATATTAGCTTTTCATGAAGATGAAGATGAATGCAGGTTCCAATTGGAGAGCAGACCATCAGACATTGAAGGATCTTTACACTGGATAAATCTGACCTGCAACACAGCTCAGAACCAAGTGCCCAG